ATTATCGCCACCTACTGGTTCCATTTTTTTAGCAAGTGAAAACATCCACATTATAAGAAAAAAGAGCAGGGATTGCACGGAAAATAAGACTTTCAAAAAATGACACTGGTCAATAAAATGAATTATTTTCTATCAAATTCTGCTAGGTATACATTTTAAAGTATACTTTTTGTGCATTTCTCTCATTTAAAGAAAACTAATTAAACAATCTAAAGGTTAGTTATTTGTAAAAGAAAAAAGAAAAAAAAGAAGAAGAAGCAAAGACAGAAAGGACCATTTTCGGACTATGAAAATACTAGCTGTGCAAAGTACCATTATTACTCGGATTAAGTCAAAAAGATCACAGGAGAGGAGGCCGAGGCTGAGCTCCTATAACGGGCTAAATAACGGTAACCTGGGACGAAAGGCTGTCATTAGACCAGTTAACTGTAGGGTGAGTGTCACTGTAGAATTAAAGCAAAGACCACACCAAAATATAAAAGCAGAAAAAACACGAGTAAGCATTTATGAGGTGTGTGTGTGTGTGAGGGGGTCGTGTTACCATGTTACATGACGGTCAGGTTACACACAGGAGTGGTACAGAACAACTGTAAGTAAAATAAATAAAAAATAAGGACCCCAGCCCCCCAAACTACCCTCCACCCCCTCTTCTTTTGGGTGTCCCCATGATTTAACCTCGACTTTTTCGTGCTCTCTTTAACACAGAAACACACGGAAACACACATTTCATCATACAACCACAAAACTTCACAAACTGCGTCAACGGCAGCAACCTGCGACACCGAGCCTGGTGTCAATATAAATGAACCAAATAGCGGAAAACTGCAATGAAGTTTAGCAAGAAGTTTCACAAGTTTCAGCGCGGGGGAACACACGGGGCCAGGAACGTAGAGATTTCGAGAAAGACACGAAGTAGACTCACACAAGTGCATTAACATTCGAACAGAGAGGAGTATACGATGGCAGACTCACGTGAGGGAGCAGGAGGAGCAGCAGGCGACTGGATGGGTTTTCTTCTTGCTCTTTGTGTGAGAAGCTGTGGCAGCGACTGAAGACACAGTGATGTAGAACAACAGGCCCTGCCCACTTCAGGGGGAGGACCCCGGATGAAGAAGGGGCAGAGGGTGAGAAAAAGAGTGGTGTTAATTAGGTGATGATTAGGGTTTTAAATTATGGGTGGGTGCGTCTTGTCTGCAATGCTATGTCGTGAATGCGACTTTAACAAACCGTCTGTTCTTCGTTTCTCTGAGAGGAAACTTTTTTTTTTCAACCGTTTACTTACAATAGCCATAGACTGGACCAAGTCATTTGAGTGCAGGAAAAAGTGCACATTACAGCAAGCTGTACTTCAATAATCCAGGATGACCTCACTTTAACATTGAATTCCTAGAAGATAAAATAAAGAAGAAAGAATCAGCATTATTGTCATTTTACATGTATAGTTTACACAACTATAGACTGTCCTCTGCTTTTCGACCAGTAAACCTGGGGAGCACTGATCGCTTTCAGAAGCATTCGGGAAGCGAAGGAATTGGTTCTTGCTCAACATACATTAGCCTACTGCAGATGGCCAGGGTTAGGGTTCGAGTCTGCAGTCCTCCGATAACGAGCTTGATCCTCTTATCACTGAATGACAGTGTCTTCACAGCATACCAAGACATTTTGCTGGTCTCTTTCTCTTCCAACATGACTATACACTAGTGCACATAGAGAGGTCCATAAAAACATGGGTGACAGAGTCTGGTGTGGATGAACTTGACTGGGCTGCACAGAGTCCTGACCTCAACCCCATAGAACACCTTTGGGATGAAATGTTCCAGAAAGGACCGGTGTGGCTGCAGGTTTTTGTTGCAACCAAGCAACACTACACCTGACTTGGCTCTTTTAATCTGATTGGTCAGCTGATTGGTCAGTCACTGTGCTCTGGATAGGTTGGAACCAAAACCTGCAGCCACAGTGGCCCTTTCTGGAACACTTTGCCACCCCTGGTCTAAACCTAAACCTTGTGGTCAACCTTCCCAGAAGAGCTGAAGCTGTTATAGCTGCAGAGGGTGGACCGACGTCGTATTGAACCCTATAGATTAGGAATGGGGTGTCACTTAAGTTCATATGCGAGTCAAGGCAGGTGAGTGAATATAGTGCATATGTACAGCTGCACTCCCTTGACTCTTTGCCAGATTGTCCTCCCTTCCATGCACACATTGCAGAACTTGTTTTCTGATCCAGACCTGACCTGCCTAGAACATCGCCCTGTCTTTTCTTCGGTAACCCCCCAGTCTCCTGTTCCTGACTACGATCCCCGCCTGTTGTTTCCAGATCCCGCCTCATGTTTGCGGGAGCCTCTAATAAAGGCTGAGTTAATCCTGAGTTAACCAGTTAATCCTGGTTGTGCTGCTATTGGGTGCTTTCGATACCTGTGACAGACAGATGCATTTCAGATACAAAAGAAAGTTGCAGATAAATTAAAACAGTTCAGACTTTTTTAGTTATTTTGTACATTTCATTTTCCCGATGTGCAATTCTTCAATTCAATCAAAATTCATCAACTGAGGCTCCATCACCATAGAGGGAAAATGATTCCATTGAAAAGACAGAATCAGGGTCAAAACGTGTGAAAATATACAGTCTCCCATTCACATGAAATTATGAGTTCACCTTGTGTAGTTCATGCTTTACCAGTGCATCACAGTTCCAAGCTTAGATAATAATCGAGAAGTGAAAATAAACTATATACAATAATACTAAATACTACAACATTATTTTAGTGAAACAAATGTGACGGAAGTGGGTCAAATAGACTGAGTTTATTTTCATGACTAGGATGTTCATACGGTGGATGATACACAGTATATAAGAGTACTAACAGCGAAGGCATCTGTTCTTTGTAAGAGGTTTTCACCAGATCACAGTGTTGTTGCCTCAAGCACAAGTTAAAATAAATAAAAAAGGCAATAATGGCCAGTTATAGCAGATATATGACAAATATTACAAATTAATAATGAAAATGTATTTTATTGTTAAAAGTGTATTTTCAAGGTTGTGACTGCATATAAATAGCAATGGTTGAAAAGTTCTGTTCGGCAACTGGACGTGGATTTTCTAAAAGAAGACTCTTGGATGAGAGGTGAAACGTCTTCTTTTAGAAAATTCACGTCCAGTTGCCTAACAGAACTTTTCAACCTTGACCATGACCTGGATGACTGAGAATCTTCATAGACATATAAATAGCAATGTATTCTGAAGTTTTAAAACGACTGACTATAAATCTGTAATGAAGACAGACTTAATGACATCACACTGTAGAAATATCCATATATGGCTGCAGGGGGCGTTGGGGGAAGCCCTAAGGTTCTGTTGAAAGACAACAATACCAACAATAGCATCATAAAGTAAAAACAAATCTATAAAAAAACTCCACCTGAATCGTGGCCTTTACTACATACGTCTAAGTTATTGATTCTGAATGAGACTCACATCGATGTTCCTCCTGACATTTTGTGACGCTACGTTGGGCTTCCCTTTCAACACTACCACTTTGTTTGACTACCATTTAAAACTAATGTGTGATGCCTGACCAGGAAAGTGGAAAGACAAGTCACGGAATAAAATGGAAAACTACAGTAACAAACTCCTGGGTCGGGGGCCTCTTCCAACCAGCAAATCCCAGTGAAAGGAGAATGGATGACAGGCACTAACCGACAGATTTGAGGTGACAAGAGAGATGTTGCTACATTTGTGTCTGATGTACTCAAATACTATGGGAATATTTTTTGGGTCAAGAAAGTAAGTCAGGATTTAGGAAAACGATATTTGCAATTTGTTTAAAATCATATTTGAAACTTTTATTCTGCTAACACTTGCATTAGTGTATTTGCACAATAAAGAAAGTAGTAAACTAGTTGACTTCTTTGTCAACACTGACGTGACGTCTGTGCCCCTCAATGAGAGGACATGACACGCAGTGACCCTCAGCTCATCTAAGTTTGAGACCCCTGGATAGAAGCCACATTCCCTCCTTGATCCAACCTAGGTAAAAAAAAAATCCTGAAATCTCATCCACCCTCACATTTTTTCCATATATCTCCTGGACTTCCTGGAGGTACAGAAAAAAACAGAGAGAGACAAAGATACACACAGATACAGCTGGAAATGTAACTCCTTTGGCTGAGGAATCTATGGTGGCAAAAACAAAACCACTAAAAAAACAGTAAATGTAGGTCAGACTGGAGTTTTGATCTGTATGACAAGTGTCATGCTGTAAAAAAAAACAAAACAACAACATATATTTGCATTCCTAGCTAAACAAAAACAGCAAACTTCTGAAAACTGTTTATTTGGATTTGAGATGATATTTCTGGTAAAAAAAAAACAAACCCTAATAATACATGAGGGTAACTGTTGGTTCATATCAAGAGCTCATTATTCACACTTTATCCCCCTGACGTGGCTTTTTTCTTTTAAGAATACACAAAAGTAAAAGATTTGCCTCTGAAAACGTAATATAACCAAACAAAAAAAAAATCACTGAAGTTTAGTAGGAAAACAAAGATAGAAACCCAGAAACAAGTGATTATTTGTTCCCTTTGGATTCAAGACTTCAATATTTTAGAACTGAGGATTTTCCTTTGGAAAAAATACGAAGGCATTTATTGGCAAGAAGAAAACTGTAAAAGTGATATGAGTTACCAGAAAAGAATGCTAGGATCTGTGCCAAGCTCTCCACAGCCAACACAGGTGTCTATACAGAGACAACAACTGAAGGAGGAGGAAAAAACCCAGACAATATTAAATCATTTTTCAGGTGAACAGGAAAATAAATCCTAACTCCTTCACAACAGCTGAGGTTTTAAGTTTTAGTGACCCTGAAGATTCTGGAAAAAATGTTTGTAAGGCAGTAAACATGGAGGTCTCGTATGAAATGTGATCAGAAAGTGGACCGTTGATAGACAACGGCAACGTTGCACTTAAAAATTCACTTTGTGTAACTCAACTGTAACGTTCGTCTGTAACAACAGAACAAACACTTCTACACAAGGCTCTGTTCAACTTAAGGTTCACAGTCGTCCAACATTTGATTAGTCGTTAGAGTGGTTAAAATGGTTAAAGTGGTTAGTTTAGGAAAAAGACAGATGCTCTGTGTGTGTGTGTGTGTGTGTGTGTGTGTCTACTGGATGACACAGCAGCAGGTTGCCGGGTAGTTGTCTGAGCTGACTTGGTGCTCGTTGCCGTAGATGTAGTAAACGTGTGTGTCTCCCTTCCACTTGTAGTTCACCTTAGTGATGGGGATTAACTCCACCTTCTGCCTCTGAGGATGAGAGAGTGAGGCCACATTATTGAAGAGTTTTACTTTTTTTAATTATTAACATGATTGACATAACCCTCTGTCAAAGAGCTGATTCATTTTTGAGAAAAGGAGAACATTCTGACGCCCAACAGACACCTAGTCTGACTGCTGATCAAAACCCATCTCATTCTAAATCAAATCTAATTCAATCTATTATGAAGATCCTCGGGTGTCTAACAGATGGGTGAAATGAAGAGAAATTCAGAGTCAATTCTATTCAAATAAATTGAGGATAATTGCTTGTTAAGATGCAGTAACAACAAAGTACCAGAGGGGGGAGCTAGCCAAAAATGTCTGTAATCATGAAAATGTACATTGCAGTATCTGATTTGGTGATCTGTGAGAGCAAAACAGATGCAGTACTGGTGTCCACATTATGCATGTACATACTGAGTAGGTCTGAGTTCAGGGTGCTCTGTTGCTTTAAGAGCTGCCGGTCTTTATTGACATTTTTCCTGGTAAATGTAAGTCATCTCTTCCCTGTATTAAATAAGTGAACAAATGGAGGATATTGGTGGATCAATAAAGTTAAATCTGATCAATTTATCTAGATACGGTTCAAAAACCAAACACGGGAGCTGATGCAGTGTTTCCAAACTGTTTGGAGTTCTGGGAATCGTTTAAATAAACAGAGTTCACCCATAAGCAGGAAGTGCAGTCTGCTTTCCAAGAGAAAACAGTTAATGACACCAATGTCAGCCCTCAGCAGTTGAACAGCGTCCCAGCAGTGAGCCAGTCCAATCTTTTCCCCTGATCTCTCCAACTTGATTAACTATGATTGTGAGTACAGAGAGCTAATTACGCGGCCTCGTCACAGTGACACGTCACCAACCTGCTGCAGGATCCTGGAGTTGGGTGAGTACTTGCTTTGGTGCTCCCTGATCAGACGCTCAGAGGATTCAGCAATGGCAGCGTTGGGAAAACCAATCAGAGGGTAGAGCTGAGGGAGGGGACGAGGAGACAATACCCATTATTTGACAAACAGATGTGTGTGTGTGAGAGAGGGCTTTTGTACACTTGGTATAAGTACACTTGTGGGGACATTTTTTGGAAAAGTACTATTGCTGTAGGACATTTGACCTCTCTCCACTGAGTGAAAAGGAGTCAGGATTAGAATCAGAATCAGATTCAAGTTAGGACTAGGATTAGGTGTATAATTGAATTGTGACAGTTCAGGTTCAGGTTAAAGGCTAGGAAATGTATTGTGTCAATGTGTAGTTCAAGATAAAGAACAAACAAACAACAAAACATGATAACAACTCTTATATGTGTGTGTGTGTGTGTGTAAATACCAGGTAGTTGTTGTTCTTGAACAGCTCCTTCCCACTCACTGAGTGAAGATCTCCAACCTTTAGGCCAGAGCTCTGCTCCACAACATGGTCGTCAACATGATTAGTCCTTAACGCGCGCGCACACACACACACACACACACACAAATGTTCTTTATATTCTGTGATTTGAAATATTTTAAATAATCTTACCCAAACGATTCAAATATGGGAACTCAACATGGATGACCGCTTCGATTCACACTGACGCCTGAAGAGGGAGCTAAAGTTGTGTCTATGAGGTCTCTCGTTTCTCATTTCACCCTGCATCTTTTGTAGTATTTGGCCCATGAGATGGTCATGTGATCAGACGTCGTAATGGATGTGTTAGCAGCCAATAGAAGCTGACATTAGGAGCTCTGAATCACTTTCAAATCATTTTAAACTTAATCTCAAGTAATTTAGTTTTCCTTAAATTCATACTGGTGAAAACAATGCTTTCAGGTTTGTTAACATGGTCAGGGTAAAACTAAATGTCTGAGAAAACCCAAGATCATGACGTTATATTCATAACAAACTCAGTGCAGCTGGAGTTTATTGTACAGAAGTGCAAATTTGCCAGAGGAAGTTTTTCATCTTTCAGTTCCCTGTCACGTGTTTCGCTGCAAATTAAATCACACATAACCGACTGTGGTAACGAGTTTCTTCCCCTCTGGATGTCACCAATCAGGGAGAGAAAAGAGACGTGACACAGAGAGCAGAGAACAGTGTGAAACGAAACCTCCTCCAGGATCTTCTTGAATCATCCAAGAAAAAACTGCGTGGACTTCATGATTGGCCTCTTGAAGTTTACAGACCCCAAATGAACTCATTTAAATATCATTCAACAACTTTCAAGGACTTAATACCAAGTACTTTTCGAGCAGAACCGGTACTCACCACTCCACTTTGAGCTCGATGAAGGTCAGCAGTTGGCGTTTTCCGTCACAGGTTTTACATTTCTTCGTGCCTTGGCCGTCACACTCTCTGCAACTACACACAATGTGCGAGCAAAGTGTTTAACATCACAAAAATAACAAAATCATGCCGGAACAGTTTTGTGCCCTCTGCTGGTGAGGTGGAGGACTAATGGATATTTATCTGTTCAAACTCATACGCGGAATAATTTTTTAAATTTAAAACATTTTTTGTAATGTGCATTAACTATCAATGGATAAAAAAATGAAAATGTCAAAAGTAAAAAAATGATGTCATGGGGGTTAAAAAAGTCAACAGTGCATTAAAGCTTCACTTCCTGAGCATTAGCTGGTACTTCAAACAGGGTTAATGATGTCACCACAGAGAGCATCATAAACCCGAGGTCGTCTCTTACTTGTCTCTGCCGGTGCCGTTACAGGTGGAGCAGTTCATATCATTCTTGGTCCCAGCACCGTTGCACACCCAGCATGCTTTCTGCACACACACAGTCACAGAGAGGAATAAACAAACCAAGTGGTTCAAACGTGTCATTGTCTGCTGCTCATCATGATATGAAAAGATGAAACTGTCTGGGTAGAAAAGTGATTGAGCGTTTGCTTACATATCCATCTCCATGACATTCGGTGCATGGTGCCTTCCCTGAGCTGTGACAGTCGTGGCAATCCTACCAACACACACACACACACACACGTGACATCATTACTGGTATTTGTACTGTAGAAAGTCCTCACTTCTCCTACGTTAGGCTCTTCTTTTTAGGCACGCACAAACTTAAGTCCAACAACCAAAACCAGAATCTAACTCCAGGTGAACAGAAAAGTCAAGTCTGTTTTTGACAGATGGAACAATCCAACCAATTACCTTGACGGAGGAGGGGTAGGGAACCCTGATCTTTTGAGTGTGATTGGTGAAGAGCTCAGGTGCCGTGGCCGGGACCTCCCAGGGACGGGGGGCAGTCTGGGTGTAGAAGTCAGCCGGCTCACCTGTCAATCAAACAGGACGAGTCACCAGACAGGTATAATAGGACAGTCAGTGTGCACTCACAGTGTTTGTACCTGCAGGTGTGTGTGTGTGTGTGTGTGTTTGTGTTTAAGGGCGGTCATCTGTGTTTACCTTCATGAGGTTTGTGGGCCCACTCAGTTGACCTGGACTCAGTGAAAGTCTCCAACCGATACTAAAGAAAAAACACAGTTATTAAGGGCTTGTGACCTCTTTTTGTTGTTCTGGTGACCCCAGAGAATTTTTTTTACAAAATACAGAGTAGCCAGATGAGCTCACAAAGTGTGTGAGGTGATTTGAATCGTGGTTTTAAAAAGAATAGTAATTTGTTTATTTTTTTATTAGTACATTTTTAATTAATAACTGAGCATTTCAGGTGACACAATTTGAACCACACAAAATTGCATTTTTGTTAATCAAAACGTTTGATTACCAGAAAATGCATTATGAGTTATGCTTATTTTTCTTAAACCTCACTGTCACTTCTTCTGCGAGTGTCACAAGAGTTCACATGCATGCTTCAGGCTGAGGCCTCACTGCAACATGAGCAGTTGGACAGCTGTTTTTCGGTGAAAATAGAATCCCGCTGCCTCTCACACATAATTGAACTAAATTTAGACACAAAATGTTTTTCAAACTCCTGATAAAGCGGTCTGTACAGTTTGTTTCAATCCTTATGGCACTCCTTTTATATAGTAAAAATAATTTGATAAACCCATGTTTGCACTTCTATTTGAACATTGTCAGAGGTCTTCAGATGTCAGTCACTGACAGTGGTCATGTCCCCCACGCCCTTCCAGACAGAAGGTGATGTGTCATCGAGTAACTCTGCAGTGCAGCCTGATTCTCTCCTACTATGAGTTGGCTACAATCAGTGGTCCTTTCAATAACAGACAAACACACTCTCACACCACAAGCAAAGAAACACATATATACAATAAAGAGGGAATAGCACCAAAGCACTGACAAAGTGATTTTTCTTTTTATAAATAGAGTGAAACCTCCAACCAGTGATAAGACTTCACTCAGTAACTTTTGCCAAAAAACTAGACAGAACAATAGAAAACGATCAAGTGAAGAACTCGCTCTGCAAAGACTCTCCCAGTATCGGGTTTCCTCTGGGTCAAACATTACAACTACGCATAAAAGCATGTCTCTACTTTAGACATAGTACCAGTACTAGGGCCAGTGACAGAGTACACAAATCATCAGGTGATTGGTCTGTACAATGTGACTTAAGATAAAAATATCAAATACTAGTCCAAATAATTACATTATGATATTATGACGATACTTGACTTGGACATTACCCACTTTAAAAATGCATATGATCATTCAGGATCTGTTTAAAAGTGATGATAAATCAATCACAGAGAAATAGATCAGTAGAATAAAAGCATTGTCTGGAAGGAAAATCAACTGCCACTGAAAAGGCTTTAAAACGTCAGCTGATTGTGTCATAAGTGCTGAGGTCACGAGTTTACCCTGAAGGTGTTGAACGGCTCCATATTGGTAATGACTCCATCGGTGGCTGGAGCCTTGCTGTAGCAGCAATGAGAAGATGCAAAGCTCTTGAACGCCTCGCGAGCCACGTCCTCCTCGAGAGATGGAATGCTGCACACACACAAACACATACACAACATTACACTGGCATTTCACAGACTTTGATTGTTCTGGGACAGCAGGTTGAAGAGCAGACTATTGAGAGCTGGTCTTACGTCCAGTTGTCAGGTACTGGTCCAGGTTGAGGAGGAGCCACAGGCTCCGCAGGCATGGGAGGTGGGAGATAACCGCCTGCAGCGACATAACTGTTTCAGTATCTGCAGCTGCAGAAACGTTCAAAATATGTTTGGTTCTTTAGAGCCACTTACCTCCTCCACTCACGGTGCCCTCATAGCCTGGTACAGTGTTGAACATGTTGGCTGGAGGCGCCGTGGCAGTGGGGTACATAGCTGAAATCAATAAGAGACAAGCTTTATCAGAATTAGAATTCACACCTAAGGGAGTCATTCTGTCAATCTCTTCACACACCTCACGGCCTCCTACATGTCATGCACCATTCTCATATACTTTTCTGCCACGCCACACCTTCTCATACAGTTCCAGAGAATCCTCTTCAGGCAGCCTGTCGTAATTTTTTTTTAGGACAGAGTGCATTCTCCTCATTCTCTATACGTCTGAGCTAGCACATCCAACAAGAACTCTGCTAATCCATCTTAAACCGGTTTCAACAACTCATTCCGAAACCCCCCTCATGTGACTTCACAGCTTCTTGTTAATGTTTCTTTAGATATTTCCATGGCTGTAAAGTTTTAAACTCTTACACTTTCCAGACATTCCCAGGATTCCTCTTTGGTATATCCATGAACTACCTAATTCAAAAGGTGTCATGCATTTGTCCTTCCCTCTCTCTTTTCCTAACGCACAAGTTCCTCAAAAATCTTCTACAATCTCTTTGGTGTATCTCTATTATAGTCCTTCAAGAGTATTTCCTTATTACAAGTAGTAGGAGGAGTAATTAGGTCAAGTAGTACCACAGTAATTTATGGAGTCCTATTTAACCACCATGCTGTTTGGTGGAGTGCTGTCTGCTCGTATTTACGTTTTTACTCTAATAAACACCCACATTTCTGTAGAATTCCATTGGAAGTTGTTGTTTCTACACTCGATTACATCACCTTACAAACAGGTCAAACTGTAGAAGAAGCCACATCAACTCCTTAATGAAACTTGGGTTGAGAAAAAAAAAACACCTGGTTGAAATAATTTAACAAGACTCAGTCAGGCTGCTGGAAATTCCCCAGGATTGTGACACTCCTCCCACTCGCCCCACAGCTACGGCAGCTGTTCCGGCAAGTCAGGTTTTTACTGGAGGTCGGCTACAATGAAACCAGAGACGCAGCAAAGACAAAAAGGCAGCAGAAAAGATCTACTTTCACGCCACACAAGACCAGAGACACTTTCCTACAGCAGGTGTGTTCAGGGTGGATGGCAGCAGCCAGATCAGGGGTACGTTCAAAAACAGGCAGCGACTGTAAGTGTGGCTGATGTCATTTTAAGATGGTGATGTTGACATACAATCATCAGTGATGCCTAGCCCCGGAAACTTCAAAAAAACTTCAAAAATGTGTGTGGAGGTGTTGCAGTAACTTGAATCTCGGTGATTCAGGTTATTGCTTCATCATTGATTACATGGTGTCACATCTTTCATCGGTTCCGTCACTCACTCATCCATTATAATGGTTGTGGGCAGAAATATTTGTCAACCGTCTGATGTCTCTACCTGGTTTCCCACAGTCAGAGACGAGTTCAAACCAGAGCTCCATTCAGAACTCCAAAAGAACACAATGTACTTTGTAAAACACAATCCTATTTAGAGGAAATTGAAAAGTAAAGCATGGTACCACCTGGTGGCAGTGTGTTCTTGATTTAATAGTCCAGTTGTCAGTCAAGCTCCAGATTCGCTTTGTTTCAATGAAATTCCATTTAATTTGAATCTTTTTTCATACATTTATATGAATCCTGTCATTTCAAAGGTGCATCACCAAATACCTGCGACAGCTATGTTGTAGTGGGAGTGAGGTGTGGTGTGACATGTTACGTGTTAATACGTGTTCATGTTTGCAAGGTAAATTAACCTGGTATGTTCTGGCTCATTACGAGGAACTGAGAACTAGAACAACTATTTAAAGAATACGGAGAAAAAAGGGGTAGGGCAGAACATTGGCCAAAGATTTCTATTTCCATTCACGTTTAAAAACGAACAAACGTAAATAGGTGATGTTTTTGGAATTTGAAAACTGAACTTTGAGCAGCAACACCCATCGTCACCAGTTGTAGAGTAGGCTTCAGGTTGTTGTGGTTCGAATGGAACAGCTTCTGACAGCATTAATCCCACTATTGTGATGACTGTGTTTTTTGGCTTATGCTGCTTTAATTTAAGGGCAGCTCTATTGTTTATAGATTATTTATTTTGCATTTGACTAAACGATGGTTTACTAATTCTTCTGTCTGATGTGTGTCTTTTTAGCAGAAGTTCAGGTTGTGGTGTCAGTGATATCAACAGTTTCTGACACTACTACAAGTTCTTGGAAACCTTTCTTATCTTTCCACAGATGCGTGATCGCCAAGAATTTCCACTTTTCCATCAGGAAAAAAAAAATCCAACAACAAAGATTATTTTAACCAAACATTTATAGTATAAGTTTCTTCATTACACCTTGTTCAAGAATGTTTCTTCTTTCCTCGTCTTGCAGACTGCATCACACTAATCGGATTAGATTGGATGAATTCGAGTTAAATCCGGTGCAAAGTTAAACCAAAAAAACCCAATGTGAGTGCAGATCTGCTGCTCAGTGGCCTACACCCATGGAAGAAGCAACTGCTGCTGCTGATTAACGTCTGGAGATGTAGTGGTCACTATGGTGACCCTTGTTCTGATGTGTCGTGCCGTGTGTTTTTCAGTTTCATACCTGCGCTGTTCATCCTTCGGCACTTTGATGAGACGGACCTGGAGTAAGGTGTGGCGTTAACCCCTCTCAGCTAACTGCGCTGTGGAAAGACTGTGAGCTCCTGTAGCTACCGAGGTCCGACGTAGCCTTAAAGGGAACCACTTCCTGTTAACCCTTCAAAATAAAAGAAATAATAAAAATACAATTGACAAATACAAAACGCAAAAATAAGAATGAACTCAGTCATGACCAGGTCCACAACAATACTGGCTAAAAAGAAGCTCCAAACCTTTATAGACCCAATTCTAGGCTTTACTAGAATATCCAAACAATTACGTAGATAGTATGTCCCTCTTAGTCTCCGTCATAATAATCCATAGTAATTCTAATCAAAGTAATTCTAATCAAATATTTAAATTTAAATGTCGAAATGTCTGATATAATATGAACCCAACTAATAAATTAAAAATTCTAAATATCTTATTCATCGGACACTGTTGATGCTGTCCTTGTTTTTCTGAACAGAAATTGAGATTTTCTGGTGTGCCATACATTTGACACACTGCCAGAGCTAAACCTGCCAAGGATGGGAATGGAATTGGCAGATAGGGGAAAGGAAGAATCAAAAACAAACAAACAAACATTGTTATTGCTCATGCGAATGTTGGGAATATTTAATGGTTTCTTTGTCCGACTTTTACTTTGAATGACACAAATGTCGTTCGCTGGCTTTTGTATGGTAGCTTTGGTAGCTAGCTATCGTACTGCAGGAATGTCGGCCACGCCCCATCTGGAACTAATTAAAATCTCACAAAAGTAGGAAGATTTTTCTTTAAGGTAGTTTTAACAACGGTTTAAGCAATTCCTAGAAATACTTGAAAAACAAATAAAGGTAAATGTTATGAATAGGCAACAATAGAACACAGAGGACACTGAAGACTTCTGTTTCAACACACTACAAACAAAAGGATAAGGAACGCAAACACCAAGGCAAATTAACTCAGGTCTCTAATCTGTCAACTAACTCCCTCCAGTCTGCAGGTCTTTGTTGGACACAGATGTTAATCAACAATTGTTTCACTTCACTTCTACCATGTTGTCATTGTGAAATTGACGGATAACATTTGCATACAACAACAATGTATTAAATGTCAAATTGTTCTCAGGACAGTTTACCAGATCTGGAGCTGTTTTATACACGTCTAACATGCCTGAGGATTGTGTGACCGCCTGGGGGTAAACAGTTCTCAGGTGAGGAGGACTGGAGTGAATCAAGAAATTCAGAGTATTTTCAGAATAGAAATAATTCAGATGTTTCTGTAGCAGTGCTATCAAAGTCTAACACTGTGTCTGTACATTTGTATTTTAGTTGAACTACATTAACCATGATGTTTTGGTTTGGGATAGTAAACATTGTAACAGACAACAGTTTTCCTCCATGTGAAGGGAAAGGATGGGGAATAGAAACAATATCTGTGATGAAAATATTACAGCTATAAATAAACTGTGTCGGATTGTTTTTATTTTTCTGGTTAAAAAATTGTTCACTGCTATTTGAAAATAAAAAAATAGACCTCCTGTCGTCTTCTTCTATAGCTTCGATTCCAACACAAAAAACACAACACAAGTAACTGTGCCTGAAGTCGAAGTCAGACCTTTGACAGTGCTCTCAAGGCCAGAGGGGCCTCTTTATGTCCTGTCACCAGTTAAAAGGTCAACCACACCCTATTCACAATACATACGTTTACAAGAAGGTCAAATTCAACACATAACTTAGAATTTGAAACACATTCACTTATTAAAAAAAATAAACATAAAATAGAGGACATATGATGCAACAAAGTCAGTCTTGAATATTTCAAAAACACCCCAGAACTTTACAGCATCATATGGCAGTAATGTATTGCCAGCTACCTAGAAGTTCAAGCAGTTTACTTTCTTTTTTTTCAAAAATTATGTTGGTTTATGTGTTTTGGTCCAAATTTTATTAGCTGACAAAAATGTCCCACCCACTTGACATTCTCGGTTTTAAAACCTGGCACAGGAAAATTAAATAATTTGTCAAAATTATAGCAATGCCCAGTTATTGTTTCTGGGTTTAAAGTAAAAGTTACATTACTGTGCAAGAAGAAAAAGTAAACCTTTGACACTTTACCACCATAAACATAACTGGATGGTTAATGCTGAATGAACAACGCATCTGTGCTGTTGTTTTAATAATCAGCTCATGTTACACTGCACTTGCAATAATATTCTGTTAAACCTAAATTAAAATGTTCCAAAACAAAATATGTTTGTTTATTTATAAAAAGGAAGGGTATTTCACTCCTCTTCCATTTAAATCTAAACACTTTAAAAAAGAAACGTTTCCCTCATAGAATTGCTTCTCTGCAGAATTCTGGGATTTCTTTAGCATCGGGTGACAACATTTTCACAAATAGTTTCTTTTTGCTTTATTTGAAATAATTCAACAGGAAAAAAAATATTTTTCAAACTATTACAGTTTGGTTTAACGTTTGGTTTTAGCTCAGACATAAATGTTTATTTTTTGAGCTCTGAAAAACAATAAAAAACACCTCTAAACATTTACAAAGAATAACACCTCTTCTACTGAGAATTGGTGGAACACGGGTTTTTATTTTCTATTGGCTTTTATAAAATCTTAGTATCTTCTTTGACCGTATGTGTACTTGCTCGTCTTTAATGGCATTCAGCCAGAAGAGGGAGCCATAAAACGCTCTCTTTCTCGCTGTCTCCCTGTCTCGTTCTCTCTCTCCCTCTCACCGTCAGAAACACGCACACTGTGTTCAGTTTACATTCCTCTAGTTCTCAGCAATGTTGTAATACGTGCGAGTGCGTGAACAGAGAGACAATATTACCGCCTGAACCTGAACCGAGGAGTCTACAAGGAGGGAACTGCACGGTTTAAATAAACACGTTTTCTCTCCTCTTTCAAACCAAATACACTTGAGTATCAGACGTGACGTTCACCCTGGTGTTGCTTTCATTTAAAGTACACACACACTGCCTGTTACAACAGCAACAATAAGTGGCAAATAAAACCACGTGACGAAGGGAGAAAAGTGGTTATTATTTTACTCTTGCCAAACACAACAAATACTGTAGTATTTTTGTGTATTTAAATTCCCAGGGGTAGTTGAGGCCATTTCTGTATAGAGTTAGCATGTACACACTGTGAGTTTCTCCCCATGTGTAATCTAGGTTCCTCTCACCAGTCAAAGACAGTCAGGATTACATTAGTTGTAACTGTAAAGAGTGAACTCCACACTCACCGACAGATGGTCACCTTGGCTCCAGCGTTCTTCTAAAACCTGAGAAGGAAATGAATGAATGAATGAATGAATACAGACTATGATTAAAATTATTACATTTCCCTCATTTTTTATTCACATATATTTTAACAGAGGTTATGTTTTAATTTAATTTTTTTTATTTAAAATGATAATTCTCTTTATCATAAAATGTATCATCAACCGTGCCATTGACACATAAAAGGACGCAAATGACTCATGGTTAAATTAGCAATTTCTCAATTGTTTTAAACTGTATTGTCTATTTAAATTGTATATATTTTATATATAATAAACTAAGGTTTCAGCCATTACGGCCCTCAGGAGAAAAATCACCTGTGATGATAATAAACATCTGTTCAGCCAAACACACACACCCACACACGCTTATGGTCCTATAAATGCCTGGGTTTCAGCTGTACTACATCTATGAGTAGTATATAGTTTAAGTAGTATACAGTACTTTACACCACAGCTTTTACACCCTGGGGAAGAAATGTTAATGTTTTTGTTCACAGCAGCTGAAGTCACAACTCTGAGCCTCGAGTCCTCCTCCTCTAAAAGGAAGTTTACATATCACTGTGTGTGTGTGTGTGTGTGTGTGTGTGTGTGTGTTTGTATCATCCGGGGTGAACAGTCATGCATTCTTTCCATTACCCTCATCAAATCGATGTTCAACACTCCTCCATGTACTGACCCTGTGCATTGTGCAAAGTGTGTGTGTATGTGCGCGTGCGTGCGTGTGTCTGGGTGTGGGCCAAAGAGTCTGATCCATAAACAAACATTTGATTACAAAAAACTGGACCAATCGGTTTTGCCTGATGGAGTTTAAGGATAAATAAATAAAGAATTTTCTGATTTTCTGGGGGCTGTGTCGTTCCTATATGAGTCACACTTAATAAGAAACCACAGTAGGTCAGCTACCTACCAGTTGTAGTTAGTAGTTAGTAGGTCAGAATTATGTTGTATATGTCATCAAAAGCAGTAAAAAAAAAAAAAAATCAAAACTTTTTTTTCCCACCTCTTTTTCTTCCTGGTCAGGTTTACTGTTCGCAGAAACATAACTGTTTGGAGCCTGATAGACACCACCCAGGGTTGAAAATCCCCTCGGTACAGACACTTTACTGTCCCATCCATCAAACAAACCACGGGCCTGCTTTTCGTCAAGCACGTAGAGGTATCGGCGAGTCGGGTGACTGCTGATTAAACAGCCTCTCCTTCGCTTCAACTGTGGCTAACGGTTAACAGGTCACTGTAACAACAACAAACACGAGGGAGACCTGCGGTTGATGTGGCGACCCCGGAGTGTTTATAGATATGAAGTGGACCACGGGGGACTGATCCTCACGGCTCCTGGAGACAGAACCACACAAGGTTAAAGGAGTCAGTCAGCATCATGAGCGCTTCATTAAGGACGGATATAGTGGCGGGCGTGAACAAGAAAAAAAAGACAAAATTCTTACTCGCTTCACACTTCACATCAGCGGTCCCACAACCTTACTGCGGACTGGTAATACGGTGCCATGGTTGAAGGATCATTACATTTTCAAAATAAAACATCTTCTAGACTTTCTTCTGTCAGTATCAGAGTCTGGATGACCTGCTGTTTTGAAACATTGACACATTATATTTGAATGAAAACTGGCAGCGGTCCCCGGACCATGGGTTGGGGAGCCCTGCTTCATTTTATTTCCTGATTGAAGGGAAGATTTGAATAATTTAGAAAAAGGTTCTGAATTTTTTTTGTTCCATTTGACAGATATCGAATTAAACTGAGAAAAAAAAACCCCAACAAGGACAAGACATTAGATAAAATCTTCAGAAATGTGTGGACCATCAATTTCATTTGTTCAACCAGGACTGACTGCCATAAAATAATATAAAAAAAGAGAGGGCAGAAATGCAAAAGTTGAACTAAAAACAGAAAGAATGAGCTCAGGCTTCAAGCACAGTAGAACAGGATTGTTCTGGAAATATATCGCCATCACTGGACCAATCAGGTGCTGATCTTGTCCAACTGGTTGGGTGCAGACGTTTGTACTGCGATTGTTAAAAGTAAGCTGGAACTGTTAGTGCGTACTCCAGGGTTTTTTCAACATCTGCAGAGACTGTGATAGTTCAGTGAAGTGTCCGCAGCTCTAGACCAAACAACGCAAAGTACAGCGGTTAGTAGTCTGTCCTCTGTCAGATTCTGAGACAGTGTCAGCTGAACCAGTGTGACATGGTTCGGTCGGCTCGGATTTCCCTCTACATATGTGCTGTGTGACTTAAGGTTCACAGAATGCAACAAACCCTGGGATGTTCTGGGATGGATCCCAGAGACCTGTTTCTTTCTGCAATTTATCACAAGACCGCCAAGTTGCAGAGCTTTTGTATGTAAAGCTATTCCATGTGGCCTGTGATGTGAGACACATCTTGTGAAACAATAAAAAAAAATTGGATACATTTTGATACATTTTGATGGGCCAGCTCTTGGAGTTATTGGACGTTAAGATAGGTTTGATGCAGGAGAGGTTCCCCTTCTGTTATTGGATAAACAGTAAGTTACAGTCTCTGTCACTGGTCACTGGTCACTGGTTGGATCAGACAGTTTAAACTGACCACAGAGACAAACTGTTTATTTTTAAGTGGTTCTGTGATGGACAGGGGAACTATCGCTCCTGTTCGCTACGACGATAAAAAGACTAAGCAGTAGGTAATAGATGATGCTGATTGAGACTAACTTTAAAGTTTTTTTTAAAGCCTAATGCTCAATATAACAATAAATATAAAGAAAAGTACATATTAATACATATTCACCAAGTGCAGTCTTTAATAGTAACATTGCGTGCATCTGCCTACAATAGTGGAAGCATGACTTCACTCTGTACAGTGTAGAGCTAAAAACAGTAGAAACTGCAGGGAAACATCACAGTAGGAACTGAGACACACACACACACACACACACCCACACCCACACACACACACACTCCTATTAACATTACAGTGAAGATCGTCCACAGCTGTCTGGGTCTGTTTCTAGTCACGGGAATGTTTTCACCTGATGGACGTAGGAAAACTAGTCGAGGCCAGAGTGTGAAAATCCTTTACCTCTGTGCGTCCAAGATTTTTTAAAGACCTGTCATCTGACAGAAGATCAAGTATTTCCTGCAGATACTATTGTCCCTTCACTTCAGTCCTCTCCTCAGTCTTTTTCACTGTCATCTATAAACATGGCAATTCAACTGAAGGGAAAATAAACATTAAAGTTTGTCATAATTGTCCCCAACATCACCGTCTGTGATAAAAAAAAAAAACTCATCTGACTTGATGCTCCGACATGGTGGACATGTGTCTTCAGAGGACAGCGAGGTCGTGGCAGCTCTTTGATCGCACCTTGACGGCCATGCGCTGGTTGTTACGTGCCACCAGTCGGTCCAGGAACCGCCGAGCCTTCTGGGTAAGGCTCTCTTTACGTTTGTACACGGAACTCTTCCTCTGCAGGGGCTCACTGCAGTCTTGACGGAGACGGATCTGTCGCACCACCCCTTCAAACAGCTCGGTCACGTTGTGCTGCAGGGACGCAGACGTCTCTATGAACTTACAGTCGAACACCACCGCACAGGCGCGGCCCTCTGAGCAGAAAGACGGGCGTTAATCACATGACATTAGCATCTGTTAGACGTATCAAGCCACTGTATGCACCCCTCTACCTCGACCTTTGACCCCCACCTTCTATAGCGACTTCTCTGGATCGCACCAGGTCACTCTTGTTCCCCACAAGGATGATGGGAATATTTTCAGCCTGACGCGCACGTCGCAGCGTGATCCGGAGCTCAGCGGCGGCGTCAAAGGTGGAGCGGTCAGTGACGGAGTACACGATGATGTAGGCACTGCCCACTTTCAGGCATTCTGCCTGAGAGGAGCCGTCATCTCCGTCCCCTGATTTGTTAAACTTTAAACATGTGACATGAAATGTGTTAATTCAACAGTCCTGCCTGCAGTCCAGGTCTGTCTCCTATGGGAAATATATAGTAAGGAGTTCTACTGGGCAAAGAAATCATTTCAAAAGTGCAACATTAAAAGTATTGTCAGTGCCTTAATGAAGCCTTGAGAGATTTTTTTGGCCAAAATGACAGATTTGCTGTGTCTGATAGAGATGATTATTTACACTAATGTTTCTTTGATGCTGCCTATTCTGGTCAGACTGACAGAAGGTGGAGCCACCTGCACTACACCTCTGTGGCCTGTAGTCTCTTCAGTGGCTACAAAACTATTTCCCCACTGTTTCTTTGGCTGAAAAATAAAAACCATCCTAAAATCAAACTATAAAGTGAGCTAAAAACACTTACAACTTAAAGTACAATAAAACACAAAACTGTCTGACTGTTTTTAGCTAATGGTAATGTGAATTATATATATATAGCTATATTTGTGTGTGGATATATGTTTACTGTATTTACTTACCAGTTTGTCGTTCTCCCAGGTGTCCATGACAATGAGTGTGGTTTCTTCTCCATCTACTGTCAGAGTCCTCTCATACGCCAGCTCTGCTACAGCTAGAAAAAAGATTTACATGATGTTAATTTGATTCTGACAGTCACAACATTTTTCACAGGCTTTAGTTCAAAACCTCAACCATTTCTCTTGGCTGGTTGTGATGCTTCACTATGGAGACTTCACTTTAACATTTCAACAACAATCACAGTGTTTCCACTCTCGGTTTTGACATAAACAGGCAGAATCATGGCGTGACACCCTGACTAAATAAAACTAAAAGAAAGAGTGAGACCAGTCAGCCTGAAAACACACTCTGCCCCCTCTTTCTGGCCCCCACTGGATCAATATGGACTGTCAATCGTGGCCCCAGGCCAATCAACACGTGACATCGACGCCGATCAATGATGACAGGTCAGTCAAGGTTGTGATGCTACAGCAATGTCAGAAAAACAAACTGAGCTCTGGGAGCTGCTGAAGACAAAGGCTTCAGAGTAAGAGTCTAAAGCAGTGGATCCCGACCTGTTTTGGGCTTTTTGTTTTGTGATATAAAATAATTTCCAATAATTTCCAAATTTGCATGTTGCCACTTTACAACTTTTAAAAAATTGATCAAATGTATGTATTATATATTTTTTAATATATTTCATTGACCTTGCCAGCAATGTCCTCAGATGCCACTAGGGGGCCATGTAAAGTGCCCTTGGTTGGTGGGTTGGCTGTTCTAAAGCAGAACAGGGTCTAAATGGTGTCCTGATAAGTCTGACACTCTTTAATTGGCTGGTTGGTCTGCAGCCAGCTGGGCCCAGCGTTCAGCAGCTGTAAGTGTTGGTCAAACTTTGTTACAGTCTGTAACATACCAGCCAGGACAACCACAAGTGGGCTAATATTAGGAACCTGAACTCAGAACCAGGTGATGAAGCACCAAGACCCAAAGCATACGCTTTTTCCAAAGCATATTTTTTAAAAGGAAATTGACAAATGTATGGGATATAGACTTTTGAAAAACTTATTTTAAAATCACACAATTTTAACAGTACGTTTTGGTGTTGTAAGTAATGAGATACTACTGATGTTGTTGAATAACTCAACTGATGGTTGACTAAGCAACTGTTCCATTTGAGCGCCAATATCTGACTAAACACTACATTTTAATACGGATGAACTGTCACAAGCCACCTCAGGTCATGAGCGGTACTGCACATAAAGCTTGATAAATGTCACTTTCATTTGTATGTAAGCTCCACAGCAGGAAATGTATGAGAACCCCCCCCCCCCCAGCTACAACCACTTAGAGAGAGAAGTGCATGTTCAACTTTATAAAGGATTCATCCATTATCATTCAAATCATTTTATCTTGCTGTTAGCATAGCAGGAAGCTAACATGTGTGCCTCTTCTAACACAAACAAAAATATAAAAATCCACATCTGGCCCACAACAGCCTCTATCAGTAAAGCTAAACTTGCTATTTTAATGTCTCGGGTGACTGTCATTTTGGAATGAGCTGTGAACTCCCTCTGTTGAAGACAGAGTTATTTAGCCTTTTGATACAAACATACCAAACAAGGCAAAAGCTGTTGAAAACTTTGATTTTCTCCAACTGGACTTTGGCGCAGGAGTGTAAGAAGTTGGCCAACTACAGCTAAGACTCTCTGATCGTGAATTAAAAGCATGAATGTACAGTGTATATGTGTGTCATGAATGAACCCTAACTAACCAGTCATCCGTGCATCAGGTCCTACCTCCACCATGATCATCTTTGTCTTTGTCTGTGATTCCGGCAAAGATTCCTGCCAGGCTGGACTTCCCGACCCCATGGTCACCCAGCAGCACCACTCTGTAAACACAGTCTGAGTCACTCTGTGAGTCGTCGTCCGAGTCTGAACTCCAGTGGGCACGGTAGTGGAGGGACTTGTCTCCAGGGTGGTATGAAGCAGACTGTCCGAGCGGAGCGTGGCAACGTTGGGGACGGGGCTGCTCCGGGCACGGCCGGGTGCTGCCTGGGAGATGTGGGCTTCGATTCAAGGACAGGTGATGGGAGAGTTGGAGAGGAGGGATGGGCGTGCTGCCTCTCCGTCTTAAAGGCTCTTTTTCCCTGTCAGTGTTCAGGGTCATGTTGGTAAAGTGAGCTGAAGTCAGGACATGAAGACGTGAGAGGTCTGAAGATGGAGACAAAATGACTTTAGATTGCATTTTGTTATCCTTAAAAATCACCAAATATCCGTGAGCAAATGGCTAAGTTAGCAAAAATTAGCTTAGAAATCATGTGGAAGTTTAACCAAGAGAAATACAATTTTGTCAAACCTTCAGCAAAAAGTAGACACAGAAAATAGTAGAGGACAACCAAAGCCATAAAGGGTCAGTAGAGATAGTTACAAAAAAGCTATAAACAATTAGCAAAAGGTAACAAAAGCAACAACTGTAAACTCAACATTAGCTGTTAGCCTTTATAATCAAATACAGCCAATTGCTGATAAATTATCTGCAAATGTATTAATATCCCAATATATATATATATATATATATATATATATAGTGATATCAATATTATAATTCAGGACATAAACTTTAAAGCTACAAAACAGTTTGGGGGAAAAATGACTGGACACTTTTGGAGGTGCATATCCTCACAGGGATGTCCAAACACTGGTATCTACAGGTATGTCCAACATTGGTTCTTGTGTAAAAAGTTCTGGTAACTATCAGAACAGTGCGAGTGTCAAATACTGATGTTGAGAACCAGTTGGAGGAGGTCAGGGTGCTGCTCATACAGCCGACAGGAGAGGTGCCTGTAAAACCCTGCTTGTTCATTCGTGTCAGGGTAAATTCTGACCTATTTAAAACCAACCAGATACAAACAAAAGTCAAACATTGAAATGTAAATGTAAATAAGACATAAACCTTCAAATTAAAGCAAAAAAAGAGCCATTTTTCATTAGAGAAACAAGACAAAAAGTGACAAATGTTTAAAAAAATAAATGAATACAAATCGAAATATTGTGAATTGAATAAAAGTATTCAGTTCCATAGTAATACTCTAGTAGACATCCTTACCTTAAACTCCATGAAGAGTGTGTGTCTGGTCGGCCTCAGTAAACAACAGAACTGAAGTGAGTCCTGAGTCTGTGTCAGTGTAAGAGTACCCTGCTACAGTAACCTAGCTGGAAAGAAAAGTTCCACAACAGCGTTAAAAATTCAGCAGTGGAATCACAGAGTTATCTGCCTCCCTCTGTGTGTGTGTGTGTGTGTGTGTGTGTGTGTGTGTGCATCAGAGCGACAGCAGAGGAGAAACAGATATATGAGGAGGCAGCGTGTACGTGCGTGTGTGTGTGTGTGTTCATGTGTTTTAACCGTGTGGAGACTGGCTTGATTTGGAAAACATTACGGTCACTTCCTGTGTGTCACAAAAAAAGGTCCAGTTTTCAGTCTTTTGGAAGAATTACAGTCAGTGAAGACGACTTCTTCACAGCATGTCAACATCTGAAGGTGACACTAGAATAATCAGCATGGAATCAAACCACAACAGAAGTCCTTTACATGAAAATACATAAAGAAAGAAATATAAACACCCCCTGTTTGGTTGAGCTGTACATGACCAATAATCTACATCTACTACAATCTACATTTAATGTCAAAAATTCATGAATTTACATTTCCATGATTCTTACAGTAAACGTACCTCACATCAGACCACACTGGGGGAAATGCTATTGGAATTCATCAGGTAGCATCATTTATGGTTCTCAATGTGAGGGGCAGGGTGCTCCCTGCAGGGGCGGCTAATGAATGCTTTTTTTTAAGGTGAATTTTATTTCATTTGTTCAATGACTCCCCCCCACCACCACCACCACTAACTTTATACGCTCTGTGTCTGTAGAAATGTAGATCCATGGTTTACGTGTGAGCTGACATGGAAAATTAGATTAGCGCGGACAAACACACCACTTCCTCTGTGTGGGTTTGAGAGCTCTTACTGAAAGTTAGCTCAACGCAGGACAGATGTTTAGATTTTTTTTTCCTCTCCACCCCCTCAGTTGAAAAGTTTAACCTTTAGATGGAGCACTTTCCTTTTGGATCATAATTCAAACCAATAGAATGAGAATTTAAAATATAGATTTCCTCAGCTGAAAATAAAGAAGACGAACAGTGAGAGCCAACATCTTCAGGGTGGAAAAAGGCTTTTTGTTATTTTTAGGGAAACATTCGTTCACCTGAATATGAAATTAAAGACAACGTTTGTTTATTTTTATTTGCTTATTCAAATCTTTACTTTTTACAGTGATCAAATTGTTTTTGGTATAAATAAGTGATGACAACAAGGTCATTGAGTTAGTTAGTTAGCTCCTTTTTTAGAATTACATTTTAAATAATCACCGTCTCTTCCACCTGCACCTGGAGTTACAGTATTATTTTACTGTATTTATACTTATATATAAATATATATAACTGAAAAAATTTTAGTTTAAAAAAAAATCAACCTAATAATTAAATAAAAATATTTCGAAACTATTTTACTCGGAAGACTTACAGTATTATTTTACTGTATTTATCCATCCATCCATCCATCCATCCATCCATGGATGGATGGATGGATGGATGGATGGATATTTCGAAACTATTTTACTCGGAAGACAGAAGAAGTTAATGATATGCAGGAGTAACTAATTAAGTTATGGTCGGATCCAGTACGAGTGGCGTGTCTACTGCTGCCCTCTTTTGGTCAGAAGAGGAAATACAACAAACAGGTGAGCAGAAATATTTTTTTAACGAGTTATTATGTAAACATAAAAGGACTAGTGATGCAAAATAGTTACTGACCTATAATGTAGAGAGGATTTAGGATTAACTAAGAAAACATTGGAGATTATAGATATAGATTTGTCATGTTAAATGTGAGGTTTGGCCAACTGTGGACTAATTATATCAGATTAAAATAATGCCAACTATATCTTACAGGGTCTACAACGTTTCTGGGTCATAATAGAGTTAACATTGTCTGGAGGTGTCTTTAGTGTCCTCGCTGATCAACATACTAAAATCAGGATTTTCCTTATCATTTAATCAGATTAGCATGGATTAAATACAACTCGGGAAAAAATGTACAGGTCGAGACAAAAAAGGTCTCATTTTCAAATGAAAGCAGCCACAGACAGAATAAAAATTGGTATTATAATAAAATTTGTATTAATATTAAAATGGCTCACACAATACTTACACTCAGATCTGTACTGATGTAAAAATACGTGACGATGAACATGATGTCATTAAAACCAGCAAAAATAAAAAATAAGGGTTTGAACCCAGTGGGAACTCTAAAAATGTACCAGCTATTTACACTCTATGACTTCATGTGTTCGTGGTCAAGCAGATTTGTCAGAGTTGTTATTGATCTCGATCCTGCTGACCAGTTCAGTGACCAGCTGCTGCACAGTGTGAGAGCGCAGTCGTCCCACCTCCAGGACGCCGTCGTGGTTCACACTCTCAGAGTCCTCATAGCTCTTCACCACCTGACGCCAATCAGTTCATTAGAATAAAAAACAGTTACTCATTTTTTACCCCAAACTACATCCTGTGTCATTGCAGATAAAATGGAAACTAGTAATCACTTATATCCGGGCGCTATGGTGTCGGTTATAACTGACCAACTTTAATAAACTGAAGCACGTCACAGTGTGTTTTTACCTTGTTGGTGATGAGGGAGAGGCCGAAGACCCTCAGGCCACAGTGAGCAGCTACCACCACCTCAGGAGCCGTACTCATACCTGTGAGCATCAGACAATCAAGGTTAGCATGGAATTGAAAATAAAAAGTCTTCAGTTACAGAATATGGCAGAATACTTTAGACTATGTAAAGGACTATTGTACCGTCTTGACTGTTCACTATTTGTATTTGCTGTTTTCAGCAGAGTGAAGGTGCAAATAAATGAACAAATCATTGTGTTTTGATGTGTCACTGGCCACAGCTGCTCATCCAATCAGCAGTTGCCGTTGGCAACATCTTTATAATTCTCCTACTGTGGCATGAAAAATAAAATGGCTGAAACTGAAATTCATAAGCCTTTCTGTACCACCCTGCAATAGCTCTGAGACCCAAAGAGGAGCACCTGCCCCCCACTTTGAACCACGGCTTGATAACACTACTTGAAAAACTCCAGTAATAATACTGTAGTGGCGGCAGCAGCTCTTAGCCAGTTAGCATGCTACACCTGCCCATATGTCTGTGTTTGGGCGGGAGTTTTTTCGTACCAACAGCATCCACACCCAGTCGGTGCAGTAGTCTGGCCTCCGCGATGCTCTCAAAGTTCGGCCCCCCCACCATGGCGTACACCCCCTCCTGGATGACACTGGCAACACCGTGTTCTTTGGCGATCTCCATGGCCAGACGACGCAGGTCTTTGTTGTAGCATCCTGACATGGCTGGGAAACGAGGTCCAAACCTGGAAAAACAACAATCAGCAGCTGGGATCTACACTACAGGACAAGACAAGGTGTTGGATCAGCCTTCAACCTTACTTGTCATCATTGGGTCCACACAGTGGATTCAGACCCACCAGTCCAGGGAAGTTTATGTGATCTTTGATGATCATGATGTCACCTGGATGGAAACCATCAGCCAATGAGCCGGCAGCATTTGTCACAATCAGAGTCTCCACACCCAAAAGCTTGAAGACTCGGATAGGAAACGTCGTCTGAGGAGCAGACACATGAAGATGGGATTCAAACCCTGGCTGCTTTTTTTGGTTTTTGTTCAAAGAAAGTTGCTGAAATACCTCAAGTAAGTACTGCCAACTGGACAGTATATTGTATAATCCAACTAAGAAATGTTAGGAAACAGCAGGCTGACTTCCTGACTTCTGACTCTTATACCTTGGAATGTACTTTTGCTGCGGTCAACACTGTAAATTCCCCCACTGTGGGCCCCATTAAACGTTTTATTGTGTATACAGTGACATCTAGAGGCGAATGAATTGTTTTCAGTTTTGTGAGACAATGCGTTTGCGATGGTGCGTTATGTTGTGTATACTTAACGGTCTTAAATGAACAAAGGCACTTATGTAAGTGCGGAAACACATGCGCGCATGCGCAGACACGAACACCCAGGTTGGTTTTCCACGTTTTGTGAGGACCTCCCATACAGCTACTGCCTTCTCCAAGCCGTTAGCCTAACATTTAACATACCCTTAGTCCTAATCCTTGTCCTCACTCTTGTCTGAGCCAATATCTAAGCCTAACTCCAAACTAAACGTTGAGCCCCAAAATATGGACCTGCAAAATGTCACTGCAAGGACATAAAAAAAAGTTACCACACAAGTACAGCTTTACCAAGACCAAACACACACACACACATCATCATCAGTCTCATGACGCTCATTAGTTTTCTGCTGCTTAAATCAGGTGACTGTAAATGCTTGTGTGTGTGTGTGTGTGTGTGTGTGTGTTGTTTTCCATGTTTAGAAACCATTTGCATTCACTGTGTGTATTTACTGTGATTTATAGGTATGACAAAGGATGACTAAATACAAAGACAATAATAAGCCTGTGAGAACACAATTAAGCGGTGGGGGGGCAGTGGGAAGACCCTAATGGATTATTGTTATTTTTTTTACTACTTTATTACTTTTTAAGGCATAATAAACTTGAAAGTCTAAATATGCCGAACCTTCTATTATTACGTTAGTTCCTTTTGATTTTTAGTTTTAAAAAGATTTTTCTTTGAATAAAAAAAATCCAAATGTATGTGTGTGTGTGCGTACCTTGCAGAGTGAATGTCCCTCATACATGTGGAAACGACCCTGCATGCACACACACGTCTTTCCCTTCAGTTCCCCAAACACCAGTCGACCAGCGTGACCCTGAACTGAAACACACCAAATTAAAAATAATGATTATGGGAAATGAAACAGGTTACAGATGCCTTTGGGTGACGAGGGAACGACCAGCAGTTTTTCAAGGGTGGTTAAAAACCATCCCTGGGCTGCCTTTTGGGGGCGCCACTGGTGTGAATGAAATGCTAAGGTAGAGTACCTGTGCTCTGAGGGAATCCAGGGATGTCAGAATAGGCGAAAGAGTCCTGACACTTGAGGGTATCAGCCAACATCCCCAGTCCAGAGCCGCAGATGATGGCCACCTGGGGGCGGTGCTTCGTCTGAGACATCAGCCAATCAGCTGTCTTCTGGTATTCATCATGACTGGAAACAGAATCACAGAGAAGAGCGTGCTGTACAGTAGGCTGTGACTCATTTTTAGTGACAGATCTTCAGGCTTCTGTAGATGATATGCAGTGTTAAAAGTTAAAAGTTCTCTTAAAATCCTAGAGTTTGCATAACTTTAATTTTGAAAAAATAAAATAGCGTAGAGTCACAGAAGCTGAAGCTGCCCTCTGTCTGCATTTACTCACTAGTAGCCATCAAGAAGTCCTGTCAAAGTCAATAAAAAAGACGTCAATACTGAGAGAAGATGTGATGTGTTGGTTCTGATGGACAGGGTCGGCTGGTAGACAGAGGGAGAACTAGTCACACATCATCAGTTCTTGGTTTCGTATTGCTACCTGTTTGGAAGGCCTTTATTAGAAGAGCATCAACATGAGTTCAAACCTCTTGTTGTTCTTCAGCACAATGATCTTTAGATCTTTAGAGTTTTTTGATCTGGAGATTTATTTTACAAGAGTCAAATATTTCAGAATGTATTAAATAGATAGATAGATAGATAGATACTGTAGCTTTTTGTTTGTTTCAACTGTCACGATAAGCGTTCAGAAACTGACCAAACGTGTGGTTTAGGTTGAAACTAAAGTCCTAATAAAATACTAGCGTTAATAAACTGTTATTCAAATATTTTGTATTCCTAAAAAAGTTGTCCTGAAAGCCTCAAAAACCTCCTCGACCTCAGCTCCTGGGGATACACTGTATACACAGTAATACATGATGTTACACAACACAACAGCACAACAAGAACATGAAGTCTTACCTGATCTGGTCTTTGCTGTGCATGATGGACGGATGACGATGACGTGGACGAGCTCAGCGGTCAGGAATAAAAAGTTGAGTTCTGTGACACTCTTCCTTTCAGAGAGTCGGTGATAAAAAATTCCGTGATGAAAAATGTGTTTATATACGCCTGTATGTGTGAGTGTGAGCGATAGAAGAGCAGTCAGAGTGCAGCTGATGCTGGATCTGCTCCTAGATATGCTCCAGTCACATGCTGCTGATTGGTCAACAGCTTACTCATTCATCAGCAGCCAATTGCAGTAGTGGAGGTGTGTGTGTGTGTTGCAAATATGTGACCTGCCACTCGTAATTTTTTCTGTCCTTTATTTTTAGCGTGCCATCGTGGTAGCAAATACATTTATTAAAGGTATTTACTCAATAAAAACCTTTTTGAAGTTTTTATAACTTTTTCATTATTGTTAGTGATATGAATGAATCTAAAGGTACTGTATTTGTTGATGGCTCATTTGAAGCTATATCTGGGCTAAGTTTTAGCAAGTTGCCCTTCTGAAAAATGAAAGAATTAGCATTTAGCCCTTCCTGCACTGAATGCTAATGCTCCATTATCTATTCTCCACAGGAGGTTTCTGGACCCCTTACAAATAAAGATGGACGACTTGGGATTTTTCCTACAACATTAATATTTCATGTTTATTTTGGAATCCAGCTGTGAGCCGGGTTGGACAGTTTGTCAGGCTGGAGTCGGCCCGCGGGCCACTAGTTCATCTACACTGCTCTACAGCCTAAGTCTTTTCAGGATCCACAAAGTGTCGACCACTGCATGCATGACATGTATAAGTACCATGACAAATATTAAACAAAAAAAGTTCTAACATTTAGCAACGTACATGCTAACCTTAAGACTCCCAGCAATAGCATTGCCACTATTAGCCATCTCATCTAATCTTGACCATTTATTTATTCACTTTATAGACAAACATTTGATTACGGACAAATCTTCTTCTTTTCAACAAGATCTTTTCCCAGAGTTCCACCTGTGACCAGCTAACTAGATTCAGTTGCTGTTTAACCTAGAGTTCTGTACATAACACACTGGATCTGATTTCTTTTTTTTATTTCTACCCACTATAAATAAGTTTTGCTACATTTGTCTCTTAAGATCCAGAATCAGATTTGAGAGATTAATTGAACCAATCAGAGACAAGATATGGAGCTACGTTAACGGGCCGTAGCCTTGTGTCTCATGACTGCTAACACACCTCACATGTCAACTGTGCTCCACTCTGATCATCTGCTGCAAATGAGATTCATGTGGGTCTGACGTGCTGTCACGTACGACCTGCAGTTCGAGGGATCAGACGAAACCAACAGGAAGTTCACTTTGGTCATTTCCTGCGCACAGTCACACAGGAACGTCCACTGGACGTCTGTTTAATGCAGAACAATGAGTCACTGTGAGGAAACCCCCCCCACATTTACAAGTCACTTCAGGACACGCAGAGTAAAATAAAGTCCCAGAACAAGTTTTACAGGAAAATAATCTGCTGAATAAAAATGTTCAAATCAATCAGTGTTCATTCTTTATTCCTGTCTTATCTTCTCGGCTGCTAATGCCACAGTGTGTGGGATTTAACATGAGCCACGTGGAAGCTGGTTAGCAGGTTAATGACCAGAGTACAGCTGGTGGTTAGAGACACACACACACACACACACAGACTGATGTCACATTTCCACAAGGAGAGTCATTACATTTTTATAAGAAAAGTCTTTCATCATTTTCCCATTCACTTTGTCAGAGAATATTCCAGAAATGTGACATCCATACTTATTTCTACACACACAGTTGTGTGTCCATTCAACTGCAACCCTCTCCTCCTCTACCATCCTTTTAAAATCACTGTTAACGCGCAGCTTTTCTTCTAGGTCAACATCTAAAATAAACATTTTGGTTATAAAGTTACAAATTCAAACGTTCATCTCCTCCCGTCTCTAACACTCACCCGTCTCTAACCGGCCTACTGTACACTGATGCTGATGCTGAATGTGAATTCATTCAACTTCAAACCCACCTCTGATGTTAATTTGCTTATTTATTTGTTTTTATATTTATATATTATGTTCATATTTTTACATGACAGGTAACTTATGGGGGCTAATTCTTCTGTTTACATTACAAGGATTTACAGTCAACTCAATAATTATGGGGAAAAGTTATCTTAGAAAAAAATATATAAAAAAACAGCCATGTAAGGGGAACTATACAGTAAGGGTTAGACATTGATGTATTACAATAATATTTCTAAACCTGAGTGGTGCGTCCGAGTCTGCTCCTGCTCTGGACCCTGCGGCCTCTATGGGTCTAACGTCCAGCTGAATGGTCAACATTCCTGCATTCCCCTCACCTATCTCCCTAACTGCTGCCACCTAAATGTCATTAGCGTCTCTGGCATTCTCAGACCTATGTGAGCTAAAAGTGCTGTTAGGACCTCATTCCTGAGGCTTCACTTCTGTGAGCCTATTGGACAATCGTGGGATTTATCAGAGCGGCACTTCAGTTAACACAATGTGTTGCCTTTGGTTTGGTCCTGATTTTTAAAGTATGTTGAACATTCCATATTGTAATATGAATGTTTTTTTCCAAATTCATTAAATGGAGACTGAAAAGTGTAAAAATACGAGTATAAAAATATAAAAACATAAAAATCTGACGGTGCAGTGAAGTGAAAAGACATGTTGTTCCTAACGTTTAGACGTTAGGCTTCCATTAGCAGCTGCGTTCCCAGTTTGGAATACGTTACCATAATTATTAGACACGTGAGGGCCGTTACCTTAGACATCAATGTTAGACTCTGAGGATCGAGCTGAAATCTACGCTCTCGAGACTCAAAAAATGGTTGAGGTTGGTATGTATTTTTTTACTTTTTGCCTGTATGAATGTAGGGCAAACATTGAAACTCTCAGATTGACGTGCGTCTCTGGAAACAAAGTGAATGTGTAAAATACTTAGGACGTTGGAGAATAGCTCAGATTCTCAGAGAGCTGATTCAGAGCGTCTGCAATGTGCTGGAAGAAGGACGCCTTTATTTTGTCTCTGAGTATCAGTGCGTCTGTGGAGCATCATGATGCAAACCTTTCTTTTTCCTACCAGAGCCTGTGTATGAGTCAACTTTGCCCTAATTTAACAAAAGCTGTCGACATTATCCATAAAGTAAACAGTTTTCAGGTAAATTTGGACGACAACACAGTACAGCATATTCAACACTGCCTTCCACACTTTACCTTTACACACAGATTTTTAGTATTTGTGTTTGCAGTACCGGATTTTTCTGAACTATATGGTCGCACCAGCCAAAAAAGGCACAACGAAAAGAAAAAACAAAACATATACAAGTCGCTCGGGAGTATAAGTTGCACCAGCCAGCTAGAGTGCCCTCTAGCGGCTGTCAGTGTGAAAATAACAAGTGTGAAATTATATATCTTAATATATAAGTCGCACCTGAGTATAAGTCGCAAACCCAGCCAAAGGATAAGAAATACGGTAGTTTTAACTGTAGGTGGCGACAGGTCTCACTTCTTTGTTGTCTCATTGTGGAAACTATTGTTTTATTTGAGCAGACGACTCTCCTAATGTGATCCTTGCTTGCAAAGAAGGACCCTATGGTGGAAGTTCTTTTGTCTACTCAGTCGTATAAGTAAACCAGTTACAGGTAAAACTGCCTATCATCCCAGTGTAACATCCCAGTTACCGCTACATCACAATGTGTTCAAACTTACATACAGAAATAAGTTTTTCAGTATATATAATTTTTTTTGCAGATAGCATATTATCTTCCATAAAACAAAATCCAATGATATTGATTATTATCACCAACCGCGTGTTGCTAATCCTCATGTTTCCACGTGTTTTCATTTTGTGTGGCTTTTGTTAATGAGCTGCATGATGTTGGCCTCCGGAGATGAATGAAAGGTCAAGGGATGCTGTTACTGACACACGTGAGTCACAAAACTTTCAGCCAAATAGTTTGAGTGATTTTGCGAACGTGTGCCAGATGGTCAGTTTGGTCGGACCCTTCTGTAAAACATGTGACAGGGAGGCGGGTCTGAGTAATAAAAGCAGAAAATTCCACTTACAATAAAATAAGGCCAATCACACAGTAACTCAGCTACAGTGGCTTTGTCCACAAGATGCCAGCAAAACATCATTACTACTGGTACCTCAGTAGTAATCTACCCAGGGACACATCGGCATGTGGACACTAGATCCCACATACATCAGTTTTAGCTTAACTCACCAGACTCCACACATATACACACACACACACACAACCTCTACACATACATACATGTACACTCAATTCACGTGTCCCAAATAATCTATTCCTAAATGTAATATATATTTTGTACATTTCCTTCAACCAGACATGTCCTTATATTTGTTTGAATATCTAATGTCAAATACTAGTACAACAAGAAGAAAACACTGCAGCATTATAGCTGTCAGTCTGTATCCAACTACATACCTCCGAAAAAAGAGAGGATGGAAAGAGAATAAATTGAATAGAGGGCCTAAAGACGGTCTCTGTCGCCCTCTAGCGGCTAATAAATGTTCTGTTTTCTTTCATTCACTTTTCTTGTAAGCCCTCTTCAAATTAACGTTGTGTACTCTAAAAAACCTAAGGGAAGCTTGCAGGAACTTTGAAGACACAAATACTTTTTAGAAAAAGTAAAAGGCCACATGAGCGCCAACGGTTAATAGACTGTATTTGTTACCGTGTTTCTGGAACACACACTGACGCTGCCAAACTAATGGAATTCTTCTTGATGAATAATTCCATCAATTTGAGGTGAATTGAAAGTATGAGGTCAAAGCCAACGTACATCCTCCCTCACTCACACACAAAGAGAGAGAGAGAAAGAGAAAGAGAAAGAGAGAGAGAAAGAGAGAGCGAAGGCGAGTGAGAGAGAGAGAGAACGAGAGAGTGAGAGAGGAACTAGTCTACATCCTGTAACTGTTCTGCAATCAGAGGCTGACTTCATCCTTCAACCAGCCTGAGTGTGTGAGAGTGAGTGAGTGAGTGAGTGTGTGAGTGTGTGTGTGTGTGTGTGTTGGTCAGCGTTGCGTGCTGATTGCACCTCGTTACGGCAGAAAGCAGGCGTATAGTGATGGAGAGAGTGTGTGTTTGTTTATTTTGTTGTATCAGTCTGAAGTGTGTGTGTGTGTGTGTGTGTGTGTGCACATAGGGTATTGCTTCAAGTTGCATTTGATGGTTGCACAGGAGAGCAATGAAACCATGGACACCCACACCCCCACATATAATCCCCCCGTCCCTCCACACACACACACACACACACACACACACACACACACACACACACACACACACACACACACCCCTGAGTTAGGATAAGAATTCATATTTGATTCTGTTTCTATGCTGCTGTCTGACTTCTACAAATTCTTCTCCTTTAATATTAACTTTCACTTTAATGCCACGTCCAGCTGTAAATATATACATAAACTGTGCATACAGTCGTACAGTACAGTCTATAAGTGTGAAATACATTTAAAGGACTAGAAAAAAAAATCACATTATGGACATAATGACACAGTGTCAAAAATAGAAAAAATCATTATATATTAACAAAAAAGCTAATAATTTAAATATTTATTTAACTTTTTATTTGATTTTCTCTCAGATTAAAAAATATATTTAAAATGAATTATATTTGGTCATTATTTTTAATGAACATTTTAAACATATAATGCATTTAATTTGGCATTTACTTCCACGTGTAATTATGGAAAATTATGAAAATACAGGAGCTTACTCAGTGGCAGTGCTAGCTAGCCAGTTAGCTAGCTGTCTCCACCGTGTCATAAATCAGAATATAAGCGTTACAAGTTTTTTTTGCCTCTATTACTTTTGTTGTGAATGCAGCATAAACCTTTGGACCAGGTTTAACATATTTAAAGCAGCACTGGCCCAGTTTGGCCCACCATAGGCCCTGGATTGGTTTGAGTTTGTTTTTAGCTTGGCTGAGATGTGGCCCCCACAGTCAGTGGGTCACTGACTAATAATATGATAAATTACATGGTGAGATCAGTCTGTCAACAACTCCAGACCAATTATCCAAATACAAAACTTAAAGTTTAAGAAAACTACTATTATAGTCCCATATGAGTCTGCTGTGTATTTGGAATACAACAGAAAAGTTTTGAGAAAAAATCCAGGTAAACTGTATATGTACATTTCTCTGTGTCAAATCTCAACAGTCGAATATTAAACCCTTTATTCTTTGTATTATGGTAATGAACCAAGGCCCAGAATTAGGACTGGAAAAAGAAATCACCATCACTATCATTTAAGATTTCACACTTCAACTAATTAAGATGAAAAGGTCAATAATCAGGAAACACTCACACACACACACACACACACACTCATATACATATGGAGTCATGTCACAGTGGATGGAGTCGTCATGCCGACAGCCGAAATTACCACTGGTTTCATCACAGAGACAATCCCATGCCGGCCTTAGAGAGAGAGAGAGTGTGTGTGTGTTTTGAGTTCTACACCCCCACACACTCCCACCTCCCACCCCTCACAGACACTCACCGACACACACACACACACACACAAAGGTCACCAGGGATGATGCAAAAGTGAGACAAGAAGACGCTTAAATACTGTAAGAATGTACGTGTGTGTGCGTGTGTGTGCAAGACCATGGATTACAGACCAAACGGGGAAAAAGACGCAATAGTTTCCACGAATGATAAAAGAGGAAAACTGTCATAATTATAATATAATATTTCTGTTACACTTCTGTTACTTCTAAACCTTAAACCTTTTACTGGGTCAAAAAACAGTAATCAGGTTCTTCCAGCGACCAGTCTGCACATTAAAAATGTTTGTTTTACTTTGGTCACGGAGTCATACAGAGTGGACAAGCATCAAGGAGCATGTACTACAGTGGACAAAGAGTTTTGTTGGCAAAATGATGTAACTATATACAGGTGAACCCCTACATACGAGTTTAATCCGTTTCACAACAGCACTCATGTCGATCTCGATGGCATTTTCCCCATTACAAATAATTAAAAACCAATTAATTTGTTCCAGCTCCAGAAATATACTACTATTAATAAAATTAAACTCCCCCATCTAAACATCAAAAACATAGATATAAACAAATATATTGATAGTATAACATAATAATAATTTAAAAAACATTTTATAAACATATTATTGTTATAAAAATGGGTAAAATAACCCAGCGAGAGACAGTAAGTAACAGCGGGACTCAAATGGAGCTCGGTTGATCACTGAATGATTCCTCGTATCACGAGGAAAATTTTGCAATAGTTGCTTCCTCCTAATTTGGAAAACACATATTTGGGAGTTCCACTGCCAAGTATCCTCTAAGGACCTCTTCAACCACTTTTAAATGTTCTTTTATATTGAATCCAAAGTTGAATTTCCAGGTAAATATACTAATGCTTATATTATTTTAAGACATTTTCCTACAGTTCAAATTTTTGAGGGAATCTTAAATGATCTGATGAGCATTTTTTGCATTACCTGCTAAGAAAAAAAAATCTTAAATAATACATTTAAGTTATTTTTTATTTTAATTTAATATTGATGTGTTATCTTTATGCAGGTTGGTATAAAACAAATCCATAATTTTGTACTGACTTTCTCACTGACTCATTGAAAGCCGAAAGAAAAATAAGAAGAAGACTGACTCACTGAATGGAGGTTTCTAGTGTAATACCATCAGTGGCCTCTAAAGGCATTCGAATACAGCAGCAGTTCTGGCCTTTATCCAGAGAAATTTCTGGTGACTGAAAGAGTTTACAACAGCTCTGGGTGTAGATGATGTCAGGCCTGAATTCTTCAGTGTCTTGTGCAGAGAAACATTGTTTATCAGTTGACAGACAAGCGGATGCAAAGACGGCACTCGCTGCACGTTTGGATCACAGCAGCACAGGAGTTAGGAAGGTGGAAACCAGAGAGCAGTGTTATAGGAAAGAAAGAGAAGGTGCACACACACGGTTGGTGTGTGTGTTGTTCTCAGTTAGTGTGTGTTCTCATGTCAGGCCATAATTGAGTCAGACACTTGGCCTCTGATTTCATCACGTCAGTTATGAAAGAGACAGTGAAGTTCTCTCTCTCTCTCACACACACACACACGCAAAGAAAAAGAGAAAGGGAGAGAGAGTTGGAGAGAGCAGTGTTTCTACTGCCTCTCTGTTTCTTCAATATTTCATCATTTGGCGTAAAAACACGCCAACCAGTGGAGATAACCTGCTGTGTATGTACGTATGTATGCGTGAGAGAGAGAGAGAGGGAGAGAGAGAGAGAGAGACAAATTTAACCAGGTCACACAGGCCATTTACCTACGGTTAGAAATTGAAGTTCAAAAAGTACAAGCTTGAACCTTATTAACAGTCAAAACAGTTCTCACAGTTTCCTAAACTTTGAATCTGTCACTCTGTTATAGTTCGGTTTTTACCATTACTTTGTTTGTATTTCATCAAATATTCTGGGTTAAACTGCCATTTCAAATAAAATACAATATCTAAGAACAAAACATTAATAACAACGATTCTGCCAAAATTCAATGCTGTATTCGCGATATTTTAGTACGCAGTATAACTATAAATTTATGAAAAATATTATTGGTGTAACAGTTGCTTGATTTTCTCGCGAGATCTGGCAACACTTGTGGCAAACGGTTTCTGTAGTTTTGCGAAGCACTAAACACGTGCCGTAACTTTGACCGGATATAGTGAAATTAGCTAAAATAATTGCTTTCTCTCTTTCCACTACAAAAATGTTTGTGTAATAAAACGTAATGCCACAAACGGTGGTAAATATGGTTAAAATATTACCATTATGGTGTACTGCAGCTGATGTAACCGGAACAGAAAAGCGGAGACGTAAAAAAAACAAAACTCTGATGTGAGAATTACACGCAACATTGCCGAAAGTGTAACCGAAAGTGACGTTAGGTTTGTTTAAATAATTATAATAAACAGTCTGAGTTTGAGAAAACAAGAGGACGTCTTATGGTTTCTCCGAGACTACTTCATTGAACGTTTTCGTTGTAGGAAATTACATAACTCTCAGTCGGACTCATAACAACGTCACATCAAATGCAATCATCCACCAAATTACCTATAGAGACGATCTTTTCATTGAAAATTAAACACGTTATTTTGGTATTTGGTAAACGAACCAAACATTTGTATATTTAATCTAAACAAATACAATTCAATAACTTTTGCCAAAACGAGTCACATCTTAGGTTTAGATTAACAAAAACTGGCCAAACAAATGATTACATATAAATGTGAATGCGCATATGGACAAATAAATAATAGTAATAAGGCTGCCAAAACAAACTCACTTGATACAATTTAATTGGACTGGTATATCATTATTGTGGGCAATTTGAATTTCGAAAGCCAAAGCCATTAGAATAGCTTTAGAAACAGAAGTAACGTAACGGATGAATGAAACACTGTGCTAAGATCTTTAAAAAAAGGACAAACTGCTAATAAAGCGAACTAAAGAGCTAATTACCAACACATATTTCGTCTATAATTTCCCCCGTTGTCTCGTGAATTAAATTTGGTCCGGAAGACATTTAACGCCTCGTCTCTTATGTTTATTTTTTGTGAACCAAATGTCTTAAAACAACAGGATGTAGTAACAAGTAGGAACTTTAAGACATTTGTTGTTAGATATAGTCAGTAATCTGGAACATAGTGTACGAGTTACACGTGCGAGCTCCTCATAAAGCGGACGCCGACTCCGTCCTACTGTACAGTTATGACTTTCTGACGACTGATCGCTGCAGGATTGCAACATTGTGGTCCCGCCCATGTGGATGACGACATAACGAGAGGGAACAACGTAAGCAAACAGGACTATAGTCGGTCCCAGTCCCCGCTGAAAAGTGCTGGAAGTGAGGTGGGCCAGTGAAGACCGGAGTCCCGAAGACCACACTGCACTTCAACCTGACCCCTAAAACCGGATTAACTATAACCTCTGCTCACACAGACGGACAGAAGGAAAGACCTGGGGACTCGGTCCGACTTCGCTTTGTTCGCTCATGCTCCACAAAGAAGAGAAACTCCGCACTCACTTTTCCGCCTAAAGAGTGTTCTCATTACGATTTTTACTTTTAAAAATAAACGATTTTCATTCGTTTTCTCCCTCGTAACAGTCTTCAGACTTCTGCCTTTTTTAATCAGCTGGAGTTGAAAACTTACAGCTGACTCACTGACTGACGACAGGTTGCGCAACCGAGACAATAACAAGAAGAAAGACAAAGAGTGGAAGCATCAGAGCTGCTGCTGTTCTTACACTGAAGACTGACCGAAGAAAGAAACTTCAACAACCTGAGACTCTCTGCTGCTGCTGCTGCATCTCCATTCATCTTCCACACCGCAACAGCACACACAAACAAAGGTAAAACACACTAACAAAACTTCTCAAATCCTCTCAACCACAGCAGCTTTAAGTTGATGCTAAAGTCCATATGTGTAAACGCACGCTCAGATGCAATAAGAGTTTGGAGAATGGTGTCTGAGTAATGATAGGCTAATAAACTGAATGGTTTTATCGACAAAGTCAGAATCAAAAGTTCATGCATTTAAATGATCTTATTATATTCAATCACAAAGGATTTTGAATTAAGAAAAAACGTGGTCATTTATTAGATTAAAAATAAATTACAACTTTTTTTAATGACTACATTTTCCTCCTGCTTAAGAGACAGAAATTAATTTTCTACAACCTAAAAACTCAAACATTTCGAGACACTGGACTCGAGTTCATGACCATAATCATAACAACTAAACAACAAATGGTGTTGCATCATGAGCAGCTCAATCCTGAATGCCGGATGCTTCTTTGATACCAAAAAAAGGTCCTTTATATCTGCCCTCTGCAGGTTCAGCTTTTAATCACAAATGTATGAAGTGCTTTGACTTTTCTGGAGACATTTTGTTCTTGGTACGGTTGTAGAAACTTGACCGATTTCAGTTGCACACTTAAGAACCTTTCCGAAGGTTACTGAGTCAATGTGAAAGTAATGTTTGGCTGGAGCCTTTGGATTATCAAGAGTTGTTTACAGTGAGATTACTCGGGTGAGGTGGTTTCAGTTTTGACATCAACAGGTGAAAAGCTTGGTGCGCGTTTCTTTTCCTGAAAGAGCAGCAAACAATGTGTGAAATTGGACGAGGGAATGAGCTGAAAACAGCAGAGGTCACATTTTAAAATCAAATCAAATCCAGCTTATCCCAAAAACAAACTAATATGAAGAAAGTCGGAAGACACGGCTTCTACAGAACTCTTGTGAAATTCTCCCGTACAAGCTTTATATAAGGTTATCTCCGACTTCCTGTCAATTTCCTGTTTATGAGCAGAGTTGAAAATTAAATTCAGATCTGGTGACAGAGGAAGCCTTTGAAGTTCACTGAAAGCATTCACATGTCGCTCCAGCTCAAAGTTTTGCGTGTACGATTCTGCAGTTGTTCCGTTAATCACAAGTTTAGTGCCTTCACCGGACTGGAATTTAGCAGAGTTGACATTGTTTTCTATTGGAAAAGCAATAGGAGAGACTGTAGTTCACAGTAGACGTGCGGCTCTCTGTAACTGGAAAAAAGAAACTCACTCACTCATGTATCTAACACTGAACAAACAGCCTGTGGTGACACAAATATCAGGCCACACTGTAAAGTGACTAAGATCACATTCTGATGTCAACACTAAGTGAAGCCCGTGACCTGCACCTGCATGACCTCACTGCTGTCACATGACAGGCTGATGAGGAACCTGCTTCTTATAAACATACGTGGTGTTTTAGCTCCTTCCTCGGCACTCATTTAGCAAGACTTTTACGACTGGCTGACAACTCAGTCAGTCAGCAGTCATTCAGTAGTTGACCAAGACCAAGATTAGGTCATTTCTGCTTCTTAAAAGTTAAATCTCTACCTTATTATTATTATTATTTATTAAATGTATTATTATAGGTAAATAATTGTGAATAGGGTTTGATTAGGGATGTCCGATATTAACTTGTTGCTTATATCCGATATGCCAATGTTATCCAAACACCTAACTTCGATTCTGATATCAACTGAGGTAATCAATGTATGAAGCTGCTGTCCCCCAGAACTGTGGTAAATGTCTGAGTACCCCACTGGCACAAGTATCAGAATCAGGCCCAATATGTGATCAAAACACAAGTACTTATCAAAAACAAGATACCTGATACTTCGCTATGGCAACACCTGAAGACGCACCATAGCTCTGATTGTCTCTTGTCAGTTTAACGGTGCAGTGACTAGAGGAGGTGTATCTTTATAAGAAAATATTTTTCAAATTTATTTTGTCAATATATGGTCTAATAAGACGTCAATATCAGTTCGAAGACTGTTTGCCATTAGCAGTTTACTGCTAGGTTTCCCACAGAGCAGTACCTCCTTTATACTGCCTTCCAGTTCCTCGCATATTCATTGAAACCAAATATAAAGTACAATTGAAACTGCAGCCTACTCCGCCTAAATGACAAATAAAATAATTGTTAGTTGCAGCCCTACTGTATGAGCACTGGTCTCTTCTTAACAGACATTGTTTGAAAGGTTTTTAATATAGGAAGCCAGAAATGGCAGTGAAAGGAATGTTGGATGACAAATTGCACTGAGTCACAGCAGCTGAGTCAAAGTGAAAGCAGCAGCAAAAAGGTGCCGCTGATTTGATATCAAAATAATAATATTGTTTTTTAAAATAATGTAAATAATATTTCTAATTGTGAAACACTAATTAAAGAGGAAGGCTTGAGAAACTATCTGCTGAGCGCTGAATTACTGAGAAGTGGAATATTACAGTTTCACTATGAGTGTACAAATGTGTGTGTGTATGGGTTGGACCGTGAGGTTGCCACGGTGACACTGACTCAGGTTGTTTCAGCAGAGAGAAAGGAGGGTTGCACAACACAAGGTTTTAGCACAGTGTTTCCACAACAGCTGCAAACTCTGAAAATCTAATATAAGTCATTCTGTGTGTGTGCGTATGTGTGTGTGCGGCGGTGGGGGTGTTAACTGTATTTAAAGCCTGCTTAAACTATAAACTGTTGTCCTCTGATGCAACAACCTGAAAGTTGAGGCTCCTGTCAGCTTACAGGAAGTTGCATCATGAAGCCTATAGACAGACACGTTTAACAGTAACATTCAGGAGACAACACAGCGAGATGTGATACAAACATAACTGCTGTTAATGCACTGACTGTGGGTGCATGTGTGTGACTGACACGACTCGCCCGACAAGACAGAGATTCTCTCTGCAGGAAACAACCTCACAACCATATTCACTTCCAACAGTAGTCAGTACACTGTCAGCAGTTCATCATCACTGGAAATGTTGTTAAAATAACAGAGTAACATCAGCTGCATGACAGGAACAGAACATTCCAGACTTGTCAGGTTAACACCAGAGGTGAGGGAAGAGAACCAGAGCCAACAGGATCCTGCTGCGAGCGTTGGCTTTAGTAAAGAAACCTTGGAATAAAAAGTCAGGATTTTGACTAATGAGTCAGAGATGAATATAAAAGAAACACTGATTACCTGAATATGTATAATATATAAATAATATATAGGTAAATTCTAAAATTAAAGTAGTGAATTGACTGTTGTGATAAAGATCTTAATTGTACTATATCTTAAATTAAGAACATTTTCACTAAAAGACATGATATCCATATATAGTAATTAATCACCTGTTCATTAATCACTTGTCTCGTCCAATCACAGATGAACATCGCCCAAGTCAAATCGCGAGTCTGTCTAAAGAGGTTGCTGGACGAACCGCAGGATGTTTTACCAAAGGTCAAAAGAGCTCGTCTGGTTCCGCCTCCTCTGACCGCCGGCCTATCGCCATGCTTCACACCCAAAAACTCTGCCTCCAAGTCAAGCCCAAGCAAATCCCCATCCAAAGTGGGGCCGTATCTCCTGCTGGAACGCTGCGAAGGCGAGGAGACGTACAAGGCTGTGCACGCTCACACGCAAGAGCAGTACACTTGCCAGGTAACACACACACACACACAGGTTTTTGAGATTTGCAGGTACTTCACATAGACTTAGACTCTAACCTTGACTATTACAAATCTATGCCTAATCTGACCTTAGTTATAGCCCTAACACCAAACCAAATCTTGAACCTCAAAAGACCCTCTCACTCAACTTGGACCTGCAGAATGTCCCCACATGGACACTGTCCAAACAATAACACTATTTTTCTCAAAAAAACTCCCCACAAGTATAGCTGTAGCACTACCTCACACTCACGTTTACCTTTTCTTCTCTAATCCCCACTCTAACCATGTCACCCGTCCCGCTCACAGGTGCTTCCTCTCCGTGGCTACCAGGAGCAATTGGCTGCTTACGCCCGGATTGAGCGACACGACAATATCTGCAGTTTGCTAGACGTGGTGGTCGGTCAAGACTGTGCATACATTTTCCTGCCTGCTCACCATGGTGACATGCACGCATACGTGCGGGACAGGAAGCGTGTGAGTGAGGAGGAGGCGAGGAATCTCTTTGCCCAGATGCTAAATGCTGTCATGCACTGCCATCACCACGGAGTGGTCCTGAGGGACCTGAAGCTACGCCGGTTCGTCTTCACCGACAAACACAGGTAAGACTTGGACTCAGAATGCATGAAAGATTAGTTTAGTCTGAACCTCCTTTTTATGACGTGCAAGATATTTAAAAGAAGAAACACTTGGACAGTCAAAAACCTTTGGTCGATCCTCCTGTCATACCCAGGCTTACTACACAAATGCCCTGCCAGTGAAACCTACTACACTGGGAACCTTCCTTGTGGTGGTTGAGTGGCCGCAGAGAACTAATCTAGTTATTTCCTCTCTTTTGCAGAACTCATCTGTCCGTGCTTGGCCTTGACGACTGTGTGCTCTTACATGATGGCGACGACTCTCTGACAGACAGACATGGCTGTCCTGCCTATGTGGGACCAGAACTGCTGTCTGTCGGGAACAAGTCATATTCCGGCCGGGCTGCAGACATCTGGAGCCTGGGTGTGTCTCTGTACACCATGCTGATTGGACGATACCCATTTCAGGACACGCAGCCTGCAGCTCTATTTGCCAAAATCCGCCGCGGTACCTTCAGCCTTCCTGATTGGCTGTCACCACAGGCCAAGTGTCTGATTAGCTGCATGTTGAGGAAGTCCCCTGAAGAGAGACTAGAAGCTTCCCAGCTGCTGATGCACCCATGGTTGTCCAATCCTGGTACACCACAGCATGTCCTGCACAAGGCTCACAACAGCTCACACACAGCATCACCTCAGAGACAGGAGGACAATGACCAAGTGGTGCCAACATGGACTCCTAAACACTAACACACTGACACTAACACCCACCTGTACCTCTGTGGCTGTTCCCACAGCTACAGAGGTACAACATTAAGCTTGTGTTTTCTAACATACCAAAAAACATTCGACACAGGGACAAAGATATCAAACGTAACGAAGGAAGAACAGAGAAACGGACGTAGATAAATCTATATTTTATCAAGCGTACCTTAGGTGTAGCCATCACCAGACACTTCATTGTGTATTTTCCTCTAAGAAAGATCATAATGCACAAAAGTTTACCTGCTGTTTTAATAAAAAAATGAACCATAGCATTGAATTTTAAGGCTGAATTTACCAGGAAAACATTACTGACTTTTCTGATTTCCTGTTCAAATTAAGTTTTTGTTGCCTCCTACTGGTAATTTGCTACTTCCATACAGTTCTTGGCTACTTTATTTCCTAAAGCTAGATGGCTACATATGCTTCTTCTTCATGGTCTTTGGACTAAACATTACATAAACATCTTGACATTGGTTTTGGACCAAATTGCAAACTATAGACATGAGAACAAACTAAAGGTCAATGTTGTGTAACCTTAGACAGTGAGATCAATGACGTTTAGAAGAGAATCCCAAATGACAGTGATTAATTAACAAGAACTGAGACTGTGTGATCCTGGATGACTTGACCCATCAGTGCCTTATTCTCTCTAGTGGAGTCTCACCTGAAACCCCGCCTCCTCTGCGAGTGAACCTCCACCCCAGGACTGAACCCCTTTGGTTTTTTTCATTCTAGAAATCATTCATAAATATTTGTTCTCAAATACCAGTCAACTTTTTTTGTTTTTTCAAACCAACTCACAAACATATTGTTTTCTGTTTTGATTTCTTTCCTTCTTTTGCAGCAGTCAGTATTCTGCCTTACACTGTTGTATTGTAAGTAATGAACCTCAGTTACAAAAGGAGGATAAATAAAGATCTTCTACAAACACTGGGTTAGTTTTCATGATTTTTTACATACAGATCATATACGTATGTTGCAAAAAATCTCCAAACTTTACTTATCCTTAAAAAAAACCCAACGTGAACCAAGGTCTTAACACTCACTCACAAAAACCAGACTAAAACTAATCCAGTGCTGTATTAATTATTAATTTATATTTCACACATTCTCATTGGGATTGTGTGCATCCTCCTTTATCTCAATGATATTTTAAATCAGTCTGAATACTGTGTATTTAGTCCTACATTTATTTTTAACACAAATACCTCCCATTCTAATAATACTACATTGCATGAGATTGTACTTCATCTGGAATAGTCATCCCTGGAACCTCCACCCAGACATGTCTGAACCACGGGGCTCTCCTTATATAATGAGTTTGAATTAGTGTGAGTGTTTTGGTTCAGTCTGGTATTTTAGTCGTGTGCTTTTGTCTATTTTGTACTACAGCAGAACAAATGATGACAGTGATGAGAAAACACTCGAAACCCACTCTTCGTCATCTATGTCTAAAGTTTAGACGTGGTGTTAAACTCCATCACTCGGAGGGCCAAAATAGTCGACGTCGGAAGCCACACAGGATCAACTGTTATTTAGGTCCAGTGTTATCACCAGAAATACTAAAGAGACTGCAGCATAATTTTACTCAATAAAGCAAAGAGAAAATTACCACATACGAATGTATTATACACATTCAGAATCTGACCACTGCATTTAACAAGTCCAGTAAACACCAGTAGGCTGTACTCAGCCTGTGGGCCTTGAGTTTGACGTGTGGTCTAAATAGATCTTTAAAAAGTTTTCACTTCAGCGTGTTATTTCTTCAGTTTGGTAGTCGTTTTAATTTCACCAATCGACAGTAGTACAAATCCCAGTGGATTGAAAATAATTGTGTTCAAGTATTGATGCAAATATAGATGATGCTACAGTAAATGTGATGCTTCTGAAACCATGTGGACCCTCACTGAAGAACACGAGGCTGAAAGCCTGAAGAGAGTGAAGCAGCTTCCGGTGCTGCTCTCACTGCAGCAGGTTCTCTCTCACCTTTATGTTTATATATTTATACATAATTCCCATGAGTCAGCACATTATTTCTGTAACTGTCTTGTGATTCAGTAAAAAAAAAGTAAGTTTCTGAGCCTTGAGTGGTGTCAGGTGTGTGTTGTCAGTTATTTACCCAAACATAATCACTGTCCTTACTCATTGTCCGTCTGCACTCTCACACTGACAGCGCCTGTCCGTCCGTCAGGAATCTGTTTCCATGTCGTCGCTGTCGTCGCCCTCGGAACGGCAGATTTCCTCCATTGCCAGCTCTGACAGAGAGGATGAAGGGAGTGGGAGTCATGAGTTTTTAGTTCAGTGTGTGGGCTGATGTAACAGTAGAGAGGAGAGAACAATAAAAAGGCAAATACAATTTTCCAAAGTAAGATTTAAACCCAAGTTAAGAGTTGGTGTACGTGTGTGTGTGTTTCCTCACCTTCACTCTCGCTAAGGTCAGGAATCTTCTTCAGCGTGTCTCTCACAGCTGGGATGACTTGGTCGTACATGTGCAGCAGTGGCCTGCAGCTCTCAGAGAAGCTGCGGTGATGGAGAAGCAGCCAGTGCAGCAGAAGCAAACATTCCCTGAGCAGAGAAGCTCCTGGGCCGCGGTGCCACGGCAGCGATGGGGAGACGCAGCATTGCGGGGCTGAGGAAGCAGTGGTTGAATTATTTTAAAACTAAGCATTTATCCTCCCTGACCTCGTTTCCTGTTGTTGCACCTGATGCTTGACTGACCTGTGGAATCCATCTGCTCCTGAGAGCCACGGAGATCCAACCACTGACGATGAAAAATAATCACCACAGTCTGGACCAGCTGACAGAGACCCAGAGAGAAAACCATGATAAAAGATGGATCTCGGAGTTCAATGTCCACAAACTGAGCAGACAGTGCAGATATTTACCTCTGTGTAACACTGACAGCTGCTCTGCAGGTTTGTCCAACGTTCAGCTCTTTGAGTGAGGGTTCTGCTCAACAAGCAAACCACCTGACACACAAATACAATAATAATAGCAACAATAATAATAAAATGAATTATTAGACAGTGTCAGTAAAAATCATAATGTGTGTGATGTTGTTTCAGGTATATCTATTCTTTGTGCTGACTTTTTTTTTATTACAAAATTCTATTGTTATGGGGATATTTTGCAGATGTCAAGTGAGAGAGACACTGTGTTAAGGTTCAACATTTTAATTTGGAGTTAGGATTAGAATTCGAGAATTAGTGTTAAGGTAAGTGTTCAATAGTCTGGACTTTATCCTGTAATCAATGCAAAAGGCTGCAGATTTTGCAATCTACCTCTACTGACTGTAACACAGCTTTGTGGGAGACATCAAGATCGGAATCTAACCTACAACCCTCAATATGTATAACAACTAAGCTGCACCAGTTAGTGTAATGTTTACGATAGGTTATATATTTGTAATAGTTGAGGACAGGTAAGATATTGGAAAATGATGTTCTACCAAAACACAAAAAGACCTTACCTGCAGGTCCAGCTGCGTCCAGTCAGAGGTTGTTTCCTCCTTGCCAGGTCTGACTCTGATGTACTGCAGTAACTTTAGGATAACACAGGAGTCTAAAGAAAACAAACCGTTCAGAGGCAAAGGTCAGAGGACTCCTTTTCTTTTAATAAAATATAACACAGAGTAGAAACTTTAACAGAATGGTACATCATCATGGTCTAGACCTGTGAAGATTCATTTAGTAGATTAGATTAAATTTGAACTCCAGTGTCACACAGCTGTCACTAATTAAACTACAGGAACAAGAATGTTTGGTTGGTCAAATGTCTTTGTAAGGGCATGTTTTTTTTGGAAGACTCCAGCCAATAGGTGCACTTCCTATTAACCTTTCAGCAACAGAAACACATTAAATACTAATAAAATCCCTTCCCTTCATGCAGTTTATTATATTAGGATATACAGTAATGTAATAAGAATGAAAACACTGCAGTGACCGGGGGCTGAGAGTATGAACAAACACTCACCGTGCTGAGTGCAGATCTGTTCAGCCAGTGTCTGGTGGTCAGACATGGACATGAGGACGGACACACACTCCAAGACCATTTGTAAACTGCTGTCCGCTGCCAGACACACACACAACACCGGTAACACACACTGCAACCTGAGAATCAGGGACAAATGTGGGTCAACATATCACACAGTGAATACACAAGGAAAGAAACTAAGTATAAAAACAAAACATAATCATTTATTTATCTTTTAGTGAACAATGCTACTTCGAATACAATATCTAAAATCACATGTAGATGATATATAGTTCAGTTCTGGTTCCTGTGCTGTTGTAGTGGCCCCTTATGAAAGGGTGTGCTTGAAGACAGTCCATCTACAAAGGTGGGAGCTGCAAAAACATTTTGGGACCCATTGTGCAAAGGTCAGTTCCAGTCTTACTTCACTGTCAATACTTCACTTACTCTACAAGGAGACTTCTTCTACTTGTAAATCATTTTAGAAGCCATGAAGTCACAGGTGACAATGTGCAGTTTTGTGTTCTCGCTGTTTACTTCAAACAAAAAGCTGATGTTTTACCAACAGAAATATCATAGAAGCAGACCTACAGTCAGTGTACACTGAACAACATTTTCATTTCTGACTGCAACTATTTGTTGCACCCTGCAGGTTATTAGTCAGTGTCTTCTGATTCACGGTAAATTCCTGCAAGTGATTTACAGTCGCATGTTGTTACAAAAGCACTGAGAGGAAAGTAATGAGCACACACACCCTGGTCGACCACTCCTTCACCTCCGTGAGGGCTCGACTTGGAGGAATTTACCGTGAATTTAGTGTTGCATTGCATGTGTGTGTGATCCTGTACACTTATTTTTTTAAATTTCATACATAAGTTGTGTGAAAAACTATTGATGGTGAAGCCATGAGAAGTGTTGTGACCAGTGTTGTGTGTTTTTCAACAACCATATCAAACTACATCAGTTTGGAGCCGTGCCACATTGTGGTCACATTTTAAGCAGACAGAGAAGAAGAAGTTAGGTTTATCCTAAATGTGTAATGTTGAAAGCTTAAAGCTAGGTTTATTAGCCTGGGCTAAATGCTACGATCAGTCTGCACCAAATGCAGTTGTACCTGTCAGTGTGTGTCTGTGGTGTCCTCTTTATCAGGACACTCAGTGTGTTCATGGCACTGAGGACAAGTTCCTTCTTCTGTGAGCTGCTGCTGCTGCCAGCGCCTGCTTCACACAGCTGTAGCACCGACTGAAGCAAGGAATTCTGGGAGCAGAGGTCCACAACTGCAGCAGAGGAATTACCCTATGACCATAGGAAAGGAAAGGAAGTCGTTTTTACACATTTCAAACAATCAAGGAATCAAATTTATAATGACATCCACAAAAACAAAATGGCTAATCAAGCTGAATAAAAGAACAAAGTTAAAGGTCACAGCAAACAATAAATAATAGAAACATTACAAAAAATATACATATATTTTAAGCATAGATTTTAACAGCCTCACATCATTAATCATGTACATGTCAGTAGCATGTAACTTATAGTGTAATTAGTATCTTAGTATAATTATGATACATTCGTGTTCTTTATTTTCTTAAGGTATTTCCTTAGATACAGACAACTGGGGGCAATAATCACTTGGAAGACCACGGTAAAAATCCAAGTGAAATTCAGGAAGAGTAATCAGGAAAAGGCAGATTTTAGAAATGTAATCATATCAGCACGTGCTAAAGACAGAGAGAAAATATGCTGTTTTATTATAACATCTGACAATTATTGTAATTTAGATAAGAAAGCCATCATTGCTATGGTGAATAGAGAAGACTGATGCAAAAAAAAAACAAAAAAAAATTTTGTTCGTGTGAACCAGCAGGAGTTTTTACCTTTATTTTGCTCTTATTCACATTTGCCAACACTGACTCCACCACCTGTAAAAGCAGCACAAAGGTCATAAGTCAAGGGCACAAACTCACAAACACAAGGAAGAGCAGAAATATTTCAACTTTTATATTTGTTTCTTTTATGTTTTTGTCACTGTGAAGAAAACAGTGAAGTCATGTTGCAGTATTTATTATATATTATAATTATTATTATTACCTCATCACTGTGTGCCAGCAGCAAATACAGGACCCTCAGTGAAGCCAGACCAGTTTCCTCCACACTGAATCCTGACAACCCATTCTCCTGAAGTCTGTCTGCCTTAAACGAGGGCGCTGCATCAGAGTCTGATCCACGTCCTTCTGAGCTGGAATGGTGTGAGTTCAAATCCTTGCAGAGGCGAGACAAGTGGAAGTCCAGCAGTGGGAGGAGGAGGACTGCACCAGGACATGACCTAAAATACAAAAAATATTGTTATGTTTTTTTTAATAAAGAGGCAAAAACATAACACTACACTTTCTTAGTTTTTGAAAGACTGAAAGTACCAGCAATTTCCCTATAATTAACATGGTAGATGTGCTGTATCCGTTGGCCAAAAGAGGGCTCTGATGTACAACGAACAGTCGTGTATTGTACTGGACTCTTAGTGACTACTTGGTCCCAACAGTGGCTGTAGCTATTTTAAAAATGTACCTGTTATTATTGCTGCTGGCTGCCATCACTGCTGTGCTCTGACTGAGTCTGGTCAGTCCAGTTACAGCCAGACTCTGGAGTGGACTCAGAGAAGCTGTGGGTGAGCCATCGTCCCCGACATGAGATGCTGCTTCAGGGGGGAGCAGAAAACCTGACAGCCTGCAGGACACAGATCAATCATCTTGATATATTGGTAACATTAATTATTATTACATAATTTATATTGTCAAATACTTTATGGTTTGTTTTTATTAACAGAAGAAAATGTGTTTTAGAAAGAGTGAAAAGTTATAACTCAACCGGTAGAGTTGAGGATTTAAAAGAGTATAAATTTTAAACGGATTTGGCGCCATCCTGTGGTGACTAGGGATCAAGTAACTTAAAACAGCAAGTTTTACAGTTACTCTGTCAAATTTATATTTATTATTCTCCTCAAGGGCAGTTTGACCTTTGGTACATACTGATACCCTGCACTGACAAAGTTTGTCCTTCATGTTTATTAGAACAATGTTGTTGTTGACAGTCTTTAATACATGTGTGTGCTTTTGTGTTTACCTGGATATCTGCTGGATGTCTGTCAAACCCATAGACAGTAGATGAGACAGGCTGAGGCTACTGGGAAACAGAGGCTGCTGAAGTAACAAACCTAGTAGGATGCCACCTGCAGGCAAGACATAATAGATGTCAATGGTCCATTCAGTGCTATGGGATTTTTTAAACCTATCTATTTAATGTGGAAAACATTATAACAAGAGATAATAATAAACTGCTAAAATAATATCCTCATACTTAAACAATATAAAAAAAAATGTTTACACTACAGCCACTAAGATGGATTCAAGATTGAACAGTTGGTCTTATGACAACACTGAAATGTAACAGTGTCTTCATAGACTGGGCAAATTCCACATATTCCACATTAAAGAATATAATTACACAACATAATATGTAGTAGAAGTGTTATAAAAGAACACACACACCACGAAACATCATTAAGTGCAAAAACAGCTTTACACCTGCAAAAGCACAGGACAGTGTTCATACTGACCTACTCTGTCTCTGATTGGCTCTTAAACTAATGATCTGGAGTCAGTATTTTCAACATTCCTATCATTATGTCGAACAGTTTCTAAGATTTCTAATACAAAAAAGAATAAACCCTGCTAGAGTAGTTTAATTTTATATTGTTACTGTATGTGTAATGAAATATTCAACAAAAACAAACATTTTATGGAATATAATTCATTGAACTGATCCCAAAGTATAGAAATGTGAAAGCTTTAAAGTTTAAAATATCAACACTCAGACTGACTGCCTGACTGACCTCGGTGCTGCAGGTGTGATGCTCTGACACACAGGAAGGGATCAGTATGAGACACTTCCTGTCTGTTTTCACCAGATTTGCTGTTAGAAGTTCTCTCTGCAATTATCAAACAACAATCAAAAATAGAAATGGACACTATCTCCTAAGATCCAATGCTATCGTTGATTATGATTGTGATGATGTCACGTACCATCTCTTCGTTTCTTTAACGGAGTCTTGACTGGTGTCATTCTAGTAGGCAGTTGGGCTCCAAATGTTTCCTTTGTGATAAAACCACTTCCCATTGGAGAGGAGGAGCTGCTGCCGCTCCCGTGATACAGGTGGGCAACTTTAGGGCTGATAACAAAAAGAGGAATGTTTTGATGACTATAATTGGGCCTTTACAAATACAAAAAGCAGGTGTACACTGTATATAAATAATATAATAATAATTATATATAATAATAATTAAATTCACATAGTCATAGGGATCCATAACAACAACATGAAATAATTTACTGGCAGATTTGTTGCTTGGTTTGATGATGACTGACCTGTTCTTGGATGGTGGAGAGTTTGATTTGTTTTTGTCTAAACAGTGCAGTTTGGTTTTCATCTCATTGATTTCTGCTTCTTTGAATTGCAACTCAGACTGCAGAGATTGAACCTGCACATGGACAATGTGTGATTATGTATTTTCTTTTTCAGACAAGTACTGTAAGTACTGTGAGTGCGTCTAAATTTAGTTCCTATCACCTTCCTGTTGAGCTCCTTCTCTTTGTCACTCTGCTCCTTCTGTCGCTGCATCTCCAGCAGGAGTTGATTCTGCCTCTGAGTGTCTTTCTCCTGATGGGCTGCCCTCAGTGAGTCTCTGAGAACACTCCTCCTCAACCTCCTTCAGCTAATGACATGTACACATTAAACAGCACAAATTAATAAATAAAACTCTTGTTTTAGAAAAAAAGAAAATCCTTTATGACGTCAAGGCAATGGTCTAGTCTAGTGGTTATGAGTTCTGGTTTGTGATTAGAGGATTTGATGGTAGGAATCAACATGTGTGATACGAGCACCAGCAATATGTCAAAAATGTTTAGAAATTTATTAGGGTTAAATATGAAGCCACAGAAAAATTAATTGGTAGTTTTATTTTGTGGCTAATCAAACCCAATTTGACTGTTCTGCAACAGTATTTTTTAACCTTGGTAAGTAGGTGGAGTTGCCTGAAATACAAATGGGGTCCTTTTTCCAACAATTCAGTTCACAGCGCTCCAGTTTCAGATCTGGCTTTATGTTATGGCTTAGCAAAGTCGTCGATTTGTACCATCATTAAGAACAAGGAAGAAATAGATGAAGCTAAGGTCGCCAAAAGAATTGGCTGTGATCACCAAGCAAAGATCTCAGACAAAAGAAGAAGTGAAAAAGTTGCTACTAATTTGGATCAACAAAAAGCAGTTGGCCGGTAACAGTATTTCGGAAGCAATAATTGTGAGAAAACGAAGAAAACATTTGCCCAATCACAACTCCTCAGCACCGGTGAGGACAAATGAAACTGCCTGTCCTATTTATAGCTTTATTCTTTATCCAGTTGTGTTTGTCTTTTTTGTTAGATCTAATTATTTTCATTGGTTTTGTGTACAAACTTGTACACAAAATACTGTTGAAAGAGTTTGAATAAGCAATCATCCAGGGTCCAGGAACGGATTAATCCATTTTACAGTGATTTCTATGGGGAAAATTGTTTCAGTTTTCAAACTTTTCAGTTCACAAATGGCCTTCAGGAATTAAAGAAATGTACAATATCAAAATGAACTACTGCTTTGTTACTTATTTGCCTTTTTTCTTTTATTAAATGAAGTTCTCATAATCAAGTTATGAAGAAAGCATCACCTTTTTTTTCAGCTCAGCATGTTGGACCTCCAGCTGACTGTATGATTCTTCTCTGTCCAACCCAACCTGCTGCTGCCTTGTTCCTGACAACACAAGCAAGTTTTTTCATCAAACATCACTCCCCGTTCTAAAAATGGGACAATGGACCAAATTGAGACACAATTAACATCTGTTCTGAACTCACCGAGAGGCTCTCTGTTTGGTATCCCAGCATTCCCTGTGGTGCTGCTGTTAAACGCATATGCGTTTTCTCTGCTTTGCTTAGCTGAAACTTTGCTCAGAGGTTTGTTATGCCACGCCGATGACAACAAGGCAGACTCTAGTGGTGTTGTTTCAGATTTAGACCTCACTGCTGTCCCGGCTGTTGAAGTAGCAATGGCCTGCGAGGCGATGACGTCAATCTCATCCAGGTCATCTTGGGTGAAGTCTCCATCATCTCCAAACGAGTCATCATAGGCTGTCGCTACATTGTGTTCCAGTCCTCGAAAGCGTTTGGTGGGCGGGCAGTTCATGCTAAAGGACAACGTAGAGAAAATAACCAATTCAAGGTCTGACACAATACTGAACGCTGACCTTAAAACAACAACTGACCACAGTGCCACTACTGCACCAAGTAGCCCTGTAAACACAACATGCACAGTACAAACAACGTATTCATGAATGTTTAATACTTTATTTATTCAAATTGTCTTCTTTAACACTTTACTTTAACACTTGGGTTTCACTGACGGTGTTTTTGTAGGATAAGGAAATAAAGAAACTCGAATAAATATATGCACAACAAGCTGACGGGATATGCGTACAAAGACATATTTACATTATGAAAGGAAACCAAAGTTGCCAAAACTTATTATACATATCCACGCGTGGATAAGCTATTGCCAAACCCATGTTTGACCCAACTATTAAACTTCCTTTACCTTTGCTCTCAGCGCTGCTGCTGTTATGACTCCTGTTAGCTTGGACAAGTCACGTTGATTACAGAAGTTAGCTTGCAATGCTAACAAAGCTAACTCCGTCCTGACACTAAACAGGATGTAAAGTTATATATATAAGAATTGTGAATATCTTATGGGAACGGTGAGTTACTCTGTACCTCCGCTTTCACTTACACAGAGAAAAGAGTTTCTACACAGTTCGCTAACGTGAAAAACACAAACTCTACTCTGTCATACATTTCTGGACTAGCCGTATGAACATGCAAACATCCAGCCGCTAAGGACCAGCGGAAGCCGACCAATCCGAAGGACGTGCTCAGATGACAGCCAATCAGCGAAGAAAATACGCTGACGACATTTTTGATACAGGTCCTCGCCAAAGACAAGTTTACTAAGCGCGAACAGTACATGCCATTAGACGGAATCTGTGTACAGGGTGTTCCTTAATGATGGGGTTTAAAACATTTTTACGAACATGAATTTCAAAATGTATTTATTCTCTCATTTGTAGGTTTGGCAGAATCGTTTTCAGATTTGATTTTCGACACTTTACTGGCAATTATTTACGAATAACACTACAGAGTAACAATATGTGTGTGTATTGGAAATAAGTCTAAGTCTAAATTGTTTTTAAACCATTTTCCATTATTCTATGTATGTCCATGTTTTATTATTCAATGAGTTATTAGAAAGAAAACATGTCCTAAAGCAGCTGTTATTAAAACGACAGCCCACAGGTTATATAGAAAATATAAATAAAAGTGCTATGATAAGGACAAAAGGCAAACTGCGATGGTTTGTGAGTGTACAAATGTTACACTGTTGAAAAAAGTATAAGTAGTTCACAGTGCACACAGATAATTACACAGAATCGTTGGAAGATGTTTTTTTTTCAAGAGATCCTATGCAATTATATATGTCAACTGAATAGTAATTAGCTTAATTGTCCAACAGCATAATGGATGGAAATCAACATAAATGTCAGTTTATTTATCTCCTACTGCTATTCCATTTCAGGTTCGTGTGGGGGGCCAGTGGAAATCACAGCAGGCAAGGACAAGAGTCATCCTGGACCACCGGTCACAGGGCTGCGTACAGAGACTAATAACATTTACATTCACATTCATATCTATAGTCAGTTTAGAATGAAGAACTGACCTTGACCTGAAGACCTGAAGAGTTCAAATGAATTAGTTAAATTTATTAAAATGTGTCATTAGACGATAAATGTCATATAAATGTGATATAGATATTACCCACATCCTTTCCTGTTTTTTCCTGCCTTTCTAGGCTTGAAATGTAGCAGAGGTACTTGGAAACAGTTCTTTCCATTTTTAGACACAGGTCTATGTGTCACATGTGAGGCTCTGCAGTGTGTATTTGTGAACACACCATTTTGACACATGCTCTCTCTATCTCTTCCCCTCTCTCATTCTCTCTCTCTTTCTCTCGATATTGCTATCTCTCAGTATTTCTCACTCCTCTCTATGTCTACGACTCTCACTCTTGTCCTCTTGCATCCATGTTTTTTGTCTTTGTCTTTTGTTGACGTGTAGAACTCAGATGATCAGATGTACCCATCATCATCATCATCATCATCATCACCATTATGTCTACCAACCAGTATTTACCACATGACTTGTTGTTGATGGAAAATAATTAAATTCTACGGCTTCACCTTGGGACTGAGGCAGCCTCTGCTCTGACTTGACTTGCTCTACACATACAGTAACTGACAGGCAAGCTAGTTGCTATGGCAACCAAACAGTCAAAGCAGGGTCAGTTGGAATGAATCAGTTGAAATGACGGCTGTATAAATGTCTCTGGGATTTTTATTTTGTTTTTAGTGCTAAGCATAGAGACTGTAACTTTGTAATTTTGGACTGTGTGGAGTTTCACCGTCCTCTCCTGTGGCCCTCTCTGTCAGGAAGTCGCTGCGTGTACATTTGTCCATTTTAGTATTTATTTCTTCATTAGTTAATATTCTATTTCTCTAATGTCACCCCTTCAAATGTAACAGTAGTTATTAATAGAAAATGGTCTCAGTGAAATGTAAGAGAAATTCAAGTTCTTTGTAAACCAAATGATCTGGCCAACTGTTGCGTCTGTGGTGTGTCTAATTTTAGAACATGTAGTCTTTACTTCTGTGCCAACATTCTGTGGACTTAAACTAATTAAAGAAAGAAAAAAATGGCTCACTCATTTAGAAATCTACTGCTAGTCATTTACAAAAACAATTTCAAACTTTATAATGAATGAATCAAAGAAACCTCTCTACCATGGATAGAGTGTAAAACTATAGTATTATAGTATATATAGTTTAATTTTACGTAGCTATTTTTGGGTAATTTTTCAGGCAGGTATCCCTAAAATAGGGAATATCATTGTGGAAATCTTTGCAACCCACAATGGCTGGTCAACTGCTTGGAAGGCAGTTATGCTAACCTCTATACCACCACTGCTGTATAGAAAGTGAATTACAATTTGAAGTCAGCAGATTTGAAAAGACTTAAAACACAACATGAACATTACAACAATACAGACCAGAATACTGCACAGATACTGATGTTGCAGTATTTGTCGAATTATTTATCTTCTAATTTCATTTCATTTAACATTTGTGATATTTTATTTTCTCCTGCCCTCATGATAATATCAAACAAATTCACTATTTGTTAAAACCACACCTTTTTCATATGTGCATTAAAATGAGCTGACACTGTAAGTTATGGTTTCACAAATTATTATTTACATTCAGAAGGACCTCCTGTGGTTGTGCATTGAAGATGTTTTAATCATAATATTGAAGGAAACAATTAATTTGGACTAAACAGCACAGTAAAAATACAGATTCCTGAAATGTGTCCATTGAATTCTATAAGATCGCTTCATTCAGCAGAAGCCAAAGCTCTCTGAAGGGTTTCAGTGGAGGACCTGGATCCACTTAGTATGCACTGAGCAGCACCAGGGGTTTCCTGGCTGAATAGATGGATGGCTGGATGGTGTGCTTGTTCTGCTGTTGCGTGTTCCAGTGCAGAGCAGCCTGCCTTCTGCACATGTCGAGGTTTCACCAAGGAGTTTCCGTAAGAGATGGAGCCATCCAAAGGGAGACCACTGCCGTGTGATTGGCTAGTTAGCTTTTAAAGGCTACCAATCAGACACTGTCTTTGCTCTGCGAGACTGTGTGTGTTTCCCCTCTCCTCTCTGAACACATCGTGTCAGCTTGCGCATATTTTTATGTTTGCGGTGCTGCATACATGTATGAGGGTGTGTGCGCGCGTGTTGCTGAAAATCTGGAAACAGAAAAGGAGGCAAGGAGAGAGATGCTGAAGAAACTGAGGCAAATTTAAAGGAGGATACAAAGAGCAGGGAGGAAGAGGCAGTGAGTAATGGACAGATGTTAGAGGGAGAGGGACGGCAGATCGCACTGTGAGCACGGATCAACGAAGAGAGTGAGGAGAAGGAGAAGTGGGGAGGAGGAGACTGAAGGAAGCAGCAGCATCACTGATTATCACAGGCAGCCATCCTCTGTTGCCGTGACGATGGGCTGCTGGCTCTCTGGACCATGGATGGGCGACCCAACGGTAAGCGTCGAAAAAAGATCTACCTCCATACAGATAATGGCTTAGATGACGAAGATGAGAAACAACCGCGGGCTTTTCTGTGTGTGTGTGTCCATGCATGCATCAGTGGGTGTGTGTATGCAGATGCGAAATGCCATCAGCCTTTCATAAATCTGCAGTATTTTTTTTACAATTGACAAATTAATCAAATATTTCTCTGTGTTTCTGTGAATTTCTTTGAGTTCTTTCTTTATGTATTAACATGAGAATTGTGTTTTATATTTGTCATCTGATGAACATTCCCAGTCATTCTGCCGCTGTCCTCTGTCTCCACACACACACTCACACACACACACACACACACACACACAGGTGCCATTTTGTGCCTCTCAGCTCATGCTGGGTGTATGTGTGTGTGTGTGAGTGTGTTTTTTTGTGGATAAATGTAGCAGTGGGTGACTCATGGTTGTGATGTACAGGAGGCAACAACACTGTTCATGCGTCTAATTCGATGGCTGCAGAGCTGCATCTGGTGGTGTGAGTGTGTGTAGGCGTGCGTGAGTGTGTAAAGCAGTGTGGGGTTTATGTTAGCTTGTAGGTGTTAACCCTTTAGTGCTTACATGGACATCGTGTTCACATTTGTTCAATGCCAACCACAATCACCAAAACTCCAACTGTGCTCGTCAGCCTGTGATGAATCCGCTCTCCGTCTTCAGGCAGCACAGCTTCCTGGAGCTCAGTTGCGTAATGTCGTTGAAACTCTGACATTTTTCCATTCACAGTTGTCATCTGGATGGACGTGGATTTTTTCTCACGATGCTTAAATCAAACCTTCTCTCAGTCCGTGTTTCTCTTACGTAATGTTGTGGTGACAAACAATACAGTACACAGAATAGCAGAGCAGCACACTGGCACAGACTGGGAGGTGTTGAGGTTCTAATTGTTGAATGAGTCAAACTTTCCTGTAGTGCCACACTACATCTTATTAGTCACTTCATTAACACTCCACACTTCAAATTTGTAAAAAGAGCTTCCAGCAGTGCTGTGACACGGGCCTTACATGGAAAATGTCAACAGTATTCCCTAATATTGAGTTGATGAAGTGAGAAGTTTGTACTGTAGATGGTGAAACCTTTACTGTACATGGGTTTAGAAGAATCTATACCTGACAAACAATACATTTACAAAAGTCAGCTGTTTAATTTTTCTATTTGTTTGAAATATATTTGTTGTTGTTGTCATGACTAAATAGAAAAACACACTCAATTTGTATTAGTTTGGTTTGTTTCAAAAAGATAACTTCAATATCAACTTTAATGTTTAGGTTCACAGTACAGAGAAAGAGGCAGTAGATAGATAGATTGTTAGATTGATAGATACATGTATTACAACTCTAACTGTGATGAGCTATCATATATTACAACTCTAACTGTGATGAGCTATGTTTTTTTCTTTTGTGTTTAAATTGGGTTTTTAAAGTTTTTAAAGGAGCGCAAACATCACATTTTATCCAAACTTAGACCAAACCTTTTAGAATTGATCAAACTTGCCAACAGCTTCTGATCCTTTCATCTTTGCCTTGAAATAACTGAAAGAGCATTTGGAAGGAACTGTAATATGAATATTTTCCAAGTTTTAAAGTTGTCTCACAGCTTTTTTATTTTTAAATCACTCCAAAGTCACCTGTGCGTGTGTCTGTCACAGATAACTGGCCGAAGCGTTGCACACCTGAGCCAGAGAGATGCTTTGCGAATCCTGGCAGCCAGTCAACATCCAATCACCGTGCAGATCAAGGGTCAGAGAGGGCGGAGCACCGAGGTGGACAGGGGAACCTGGGAGCCCCTCCCTCTCAATCTGCAGCACCTCAATCTGCCTCATTCAGTAATTGGGCCAGAGCTTAATGCAACAAGCCCCTCCTTTCAGGACAGGTAACTCCAACCCTGACTACCAACCTTAGCCTCTCAGTTTTAAATAACTGACAAACTGAGATACAGAGTAGTGTTTCCTGTCTGTCTGCTCAGTTACATGACTTTTCCTTTTACTCTGTCCATCACAGACGTTACTACAACCACCTGGCTCTGCCACAAGATCACTGCGATGGAGGACGGTACAGCTATCTGTCCAACTCCTTGGGGGACACAGTGGACATCAATCATCAGGTGACAAAGATCATTAAAAATAGTCATGGATCAGTGGTTGTCAAACTGTGGTACATGTACCAGTGGTGGTTACTTGGGCTCCCTCTAGTGGCATGCAGAGATTTCTTTTCTTTTACCTGTTACCTTTTTATGATAGTTATACTGGCTACTTGGAGAGACAAATATGTTTTTCAAAAAGTCTAAAAGAGTAGACAGAACAAGAGTAAAGTTTGAAAATACAGTGAGGCTGAATTTCTCCAGAAACGTACTGCAGTTTAACATATGAGGCTATGGAATACTGATTTTCTTTTTTTTCCTACTCAGGACCCTGAGCGGAGCAGTTGTCAGCCAAAAGAGCAGAATTGTCTGATGGCATGTTGCAACACCAGCTCAGGAGAACGAAATCGCCGCCACAGTCAGGTAGAAACACAGAAATGAATTGTCCATCAGATATGTTTGATAGAAAGTGAAAAAAGTTACTGAAAGAAATAATGCAATAATTATTATGTAAAGCCATACTGTAGCTAAAGCTACCTTCCTTACTCTATTACTGTTGTATATTCCAGAAATATCTGGTTCAATGACGTGTTTTTACAGACTGACGATGAGGACTTCATGTTGGAGAAGCCTCTGGGCTTCCTGCCTCTCCACCATGAGCTGGACAGTGGTCTGGGCTGGACTGACGGCTCCATACACCAGGGAGATCTCTCAGGACTGGAGACTGAGGAGGGAGGCCTGGAGGAATGCCACTCACACGGAGCCTTGGCTCCAGGGATTTGTGGGGGCTTCGGAGGTGGCGGCTCTCCCTCCTCGGAGTCCTTCATTTCCTCTGAGCTTAGCGACTCTGGTTTCTACAGTGTCAGCACAGGAGAATTCAGGCACTTCCAGAGGCTCCTGGAGAAGCGAATGCGTCTGTACAATGCCAGGCTGCAGCATCAGAACGAAGGCTGTGAGAGGAGGGAGCGGCGCGACAGTTGCCCTAAAAGCCACCGGGAGCTGTTGGAGGCCATTCCTGAGGCACTGACCATGCAGCCACAGAGGCAACGCCTCCAGCTTGGGCTGGAGGAGGCCACTGGAGCAGTCTTGGACGTCCCACCTCGCGGACTTTTCAGGTAGAAACGGAAGAATTTCAAAGTTAAAAACATTAAAAAAAATTTACTTTGCTTTGATGCAGCTGTGCTTCAAGGCCTTGCATAAAACAAGATGACTTATAGTTCGAATTTTTGCTGTTCATAACATTAATCTAACGTCCAAAGGTGTTTTATAACACAATAATGATTTTAAGAACAAACGTTTTTAAGACATGTCAACGTTAATGTTTTGGCCCATATTATAAAAATTTGTTTTCAGGCTCTTTGAGCTCTTCCTCCTTATTTTTTAGGGTCTCGTCTGTGCAGTTCAACAAAGCCGACCGCCCTTGTCTGAACCGGCACAGCTCCAGCAGCGGGGCTCTCTTCAATCCATCTCATGCCCACGCCGCAGTCTCACGGATGACTGCCCCCATCCTCTCCACCTGCAGCACTCCCTCCAGCCACAGGAGGCCACTAGTGCCCATGCAGCACCACCATCAGGTCTCCAGCTCAGTGGGAATGCTGAGGAGAAGCAGAACCCTTCACCACCGTCCTCCCCCGCAAGAGTACCGCCGCAGGGCCAGTCACCCGGCATCTCCATCCTACTGTGCAGCCACCATGCACCACTGCGTAGCTGCCACACCGCATAATGTCTGTCCACCAGGTCTGCCAGAAGACGGTGAACTCATGACCGGAGTGGTGCCCTCGCACTCGGTGGCCCTGTCCGTCTCACCCCAGCAACATTCCACCACTCTGGGTCACATGAGGCCAGCTGAGACACACGAGCGATGCTACGACAGCAACGCCAACGGTCAGATGACACATTACGATTGCTGGCACTCACAAGAAAGAGTCTTGATGGCAGAGCCAGCGCTGACAGAAAGAGACAGAGAAATAGAACGAGAAATGGAGCAACAGAGGCAAATGCAAAAGGAGATGGAACTGAAGAGGGAGAGGGAGAGGGAGGCACAGATTCAGGAGGAGCTGGACAGAGAAAGGCAACGGGAGATGGAGAGGAAGCGGATCAGAGAGCGGCAGCAGCGCCTCCAGAGTATGGCTCACTCTTCTCAGTCTGGAGACGTTAATGACACGTGGCCCAAACCAGCCAGTCGGCAGTCCCAGGGAGGTGGAGGTGCCAGAGGACTTTACAGCACCCTGGAAGGCCACATAGGTTCAGGTTCCAGTGCTGCTGTTACAGCTCCCTCTGGCTGGGATGCTAAGACGTGTAGCATTAATGCTGGATTAAACCCTAATCCCAGTGCCGGGCCGCAACTGAAACCTAACCTGAGCTCCAAAACCATCACAAACACCCGGGTCTCTAGGAATCAGCTGCTGAGAGACCGGGCGTCCCAGCTGGCCGACGAACGCAGTGGCATGAGCACCGATGAGGAAACCAACACTGACATGCTGCTGGGCCGCTACTGGAGCAGGACAGAGAGGAGGGAACACTTTCTTTTGGCACGTGAGCAGAAGCAGCAGCAGCTGCTGGCCAGAGCGGGGGTCCTACGAGATGTCGCCAGCAGAACAGGAGCCGCAGCAGGGGGCGCAGGAGGAGGCGCCGCTCTCGGAGACGGAGGCGCTCAGGAGAGCAGAGGTGTTGGACCTTTTGCAGAAGGACGTTGCAACACTGTCCTAGAGATGAGTCAGAAGAAACTGAGTCGTCTGAGAAACAGGAAGCTCTTGGACGACTGGACCACAGTAGAGGAGCTGCTGACCCACGGGACCAGGTTGGACAGCCACGAGGACACCATGTGTCCGAGCTCTCTGCTGACAGTCACCACGGTCTAACTGCATTTACGCCACGTTTAACTGTGTATGAGTGTGAGTGTGAGCAATGTCGGGCGTGATTGAAGGCATTTTGGAAACCTCACTGTTCTGTCTTCTCCCAGAGTTAGAAGACAAGATGAGCATCACCCTTGGATGGTTTCATCATTTCATTTGTCACAATTTAGCAGATAATTGTGAAGTATCGCAACACAACATGTATCAGTTCATCTGCCAGCTGATGTACTGGTACAAAAAGATATTGGAAGCTTTGTTGCTCCAGATGGAGGCAGTCTAGCGAGTCCTCGTATTCTTCCTGTGTCCAAGTTGAGTTAGAAAGGTTTGTGCTGAACACCTTTTTTTTCAACAAAGGCTTTAATAATCAAAGAGAGCTGAGAATATCCAGGCACTGTGTGCATTTGGTGACAGATTGATGCACAGATAGGCGGTGAATAATGGGCAGACGTCACGGTAAAATCTGAACAAACGCATGAGCAGGCAGCACAGATGACACTGTCCTGACCTGCTCCACTGTCTGCCTTTGTGCTAGGACTCCATGACACACACAAAATCCGACCCGACGCTCAGTTCTGACACTGATGCTCATCCTCTCCTATGACTCTGGACGATGGAGAACCAAAGGGTTTCATGAGAAATGTCACTAAATGGATGTGTGTGTGTGAATCTCCCTGTACGTCACTCAACTGTTTTTGCAACGTATGACTGCGTCACCGTTGTACAGCGCCAACTGACCCTGCGACAAATTGTGCGTGTGCATGACGCCCGTAACAACAAACAACTGACAAACAGCAAAAGAGTGGACCGTCAGTGTGGACACGTCATGCAACACTTTTTGTTTGGCAGCATTTTTTTTAACGAAAATTTTAAAAATATTTTTAATTTTAGATTGATTCACTCAAACAGATCCTGGGTCTCTGGGGGAGCAGTACTGTACCCTGATAGTCACGTCAGGGCCACTGAACACACTGACTGAGTGAGACTTGACACCAAATCCTGATTGTTTTCATAGAAAATCAACCATCGATACATTTTTTTCTTTTGGTTGTTCTTATAAAAGAACAATCTAGAAGAAAGAACACGTCCAACACTGCGTAAACTGTGATTGATCAGCATCATGTACAGCATGTGTGGGAACGGACGTCAGTTACAACACAGTATGACATTAGCTGCTGCAGCGGTGGTTTATGCTGCATTCACTGACCATTATTTTGAACCTTTTCGCATATTAAAACATAGATTTAAACAGACATATTACAACAGTCACTGTCAAGTGTGGGAGCTATTGACCAAAATACAGGCTGTTTGGAATACCAGTGTTTTCATATTAGTGAGGCCTTGCTCCAAAAGTGCTTTATGGGAAAAACATGGTGGATAGGATTTTTAATGTCTTTCAGTTTGGATGGAGGGTTGTGTCAGAGGTGACGTGAAGATTAATAAGACACTAGTGAGGTCTGCTATGGCGTTTGGTTTAGAGACCAAGATGGTTTGGACATGTGACAGTGGAGATGTTGGAGCTGTTAGACAAGAAGTGAAAAAGTATAATAAGAAAAATGGTAATGACTAGAGATGATTGGTTTAACAGTAGAGGAGACAAGAGGTAGACAGATGACCTGCTGTACTGACCCCTGGGTGAAGCGCCCTAAAGAAGAATGCCAGTTTGACTCATCTCTGAAGCAGGAGACTTGATGTGCAACACATCAGATGTTCCTGCAGGCTTTGCATAAGTTCACTATTAGCCTGAATTTGACATTTTAAAATTTTAAAAAACCCTTATATTACACTTGGTCAAGGCTGGTTTCGTTTTATGTTCCTAAAGTATTAAAGGAAAAACAATTTCCAATGTGGTATTTCTGCATTTCAAGCTTTTGTTTGTACAACTGCACTGATGTAATATACAATGTCACCTCTAGAGGCCACTAAACCCCATGCAATCCCACGTTTTGAACAAGCAGCTCTTAGAAGAGCTTGACTTGTGATGAACAGTTTGGACTCTTTGAGAACGTATTCTACAGTGAGGACTGGCAGTTATCAGGGATGGCAAATTTAGCTGGAACAACTTTAGGGAACACACACACACACACACACACACACACACTTCGAACCCTTGTGCCAGACTTTGGCTCACTATGTTATTACCACTGTTACAAATGTTGCAACTTTTGAGCATAGAATTTACAGAAATCCCACAAAAGTCCAAGTATTTCAGCACATTTAATAACACTTTCTAGACTTTCTAGAAATTCAAGACATGATTAAACACGAGGAACAACTGGTGTCGTTTCCTCCGATTACTCAGACCAGGCTACTTCATCTGTTCATGTTGTAGGCTAGCTGACAACCATTCTGTTGACGTGGTATGAATGCAGTATAGGCTGGGTGTCCCTGCCAACCCACCGGTGTCTTAGCTGTTTACACGTTTACCTGCCCAGGTAACAACTCATGCATGTTTTACTGAGAGCTGCAGTAATTCATTCACTTCAAGTTGACGATTTAAAAGGCTCAACACAGCAGCACATGTCCTCTTTACAATAGCTTGCGGCACGTGTGCGGACACAGCAGATGGCGCTAAAGTCCAATGTTAACATTCCACTCTGAGAAAGTACGACACTGGTAATCTTCGACTTTGCAGATTCCAGGTCTTCGGTTTGGGAAAATGTGCAATATTACCTCAATCTAGTTTTCCAGGACAATGACGATGCGGTGTGTGAAATTTGTCCGCTGTGGCAGTTCACCACCGGGCCACAGGTCGTGCTGTTACTTAAATTTGCAAGAGTGAAGGTGAAACAGACATCGACCTTATGGTTTTCCAGACGAGACAGACCTAAGAAAATAACTTTTTGCACATAATTTTTATAGCTGCAGTTTTCCGTACCTGGGACTGAGGCCAGTAGAACGACTGTAGATATCGTGTTTAAGACAGTGTACAGTGACGTTACCTTATTAACTATCATAGTGATTTATGAAGGAAAAACAAATCAACACGTTTATTGTCATTGTGTTGGACATATATTTCAATATTTTTCTCGTGGTGATTATTTAAAAAAAATCCTTAATAACAGTTTTTAATTATCTTTGAAATCAGTCTATTTTGTTTGCGGGATTCTAAAAAACTTTACTTTGGCTGTTTTTTTTTTCCACACTTAGACACAATTTGTGAATATTATTGTCTGTTTCAATGGGTAAATTTGAATTTTACTGTTGTTTTGTGTTATTTATGACATGTATATATTGGTTTTTATGAAGGAAACGGTGCAGTTAAGAATGAGCCGAGTCACAGGACATCACACGTTTACGTCACATGTCTGCGCACACGAGGAGTCAAAAAGTTCTCAGACAAATACAAAGCCTCTTTTTCAACCCTCTTTTCAGAAATCAAAACAAACCAATTGAAACTTTATTCCCCTCCTCAATAAATTTGAAGACTTGGTAAAGCACATGCATTATTAAACTGCAAATCAGCATTGATGAAACTTCCCTTTTTTAAATATATAATTCTATTGTAAGTATTATTTAGAAAAAGGCATACATTCTTAAAAATGTGGAAGAACAGAAATGGTACAGGTAAAATTGGAAAAAAGCAAAATTCTGCAAAAACACAAAAATCAAATAAAGCTGCATCTTTTTTTTTCATTATACTTCACTGTCTGTGACATGGTGACTACAGATACTGTATCTTATTTATGCTTTAGTGTCATTTTAATTTTATTTTTCTGAAATCTTCCCACAAGTTTTTCCCACCTCAGGGGCTCGTCTGATTGGCTTAGCTCTGGTATGGTGAACATTCTCCACCTGTGATCAGGAATTTGGCATTTTATATTAATTTAAATGTGGATTTACCTTTTTATTTTATTTTTAATAAATGCACTCAAATCCACACCTAAAAATCCACCTAAAAAAGACCTTGGTAATGTTCAGACATTTTAAACCCAGTGACGTTAAAGTTTTCCTTTTCTCTTTGCTGTGACTCACACAATCTGAATAATGAATGATGGAGATGTTTTTTTTTCCCTCCTCCCACCTCCCTCCTTCCTCTCAATCTCTTTCGCCTTCACTACACAAGAACACGGAGTGCTGAAAATAGCACTGCTGTCCTCGTGTGATGTGAAATTAAAAGCACACTGAAGCGGGAGAAGCTTGCTGCCGGAGAACTCACTGCACTTGTTTTAACTCCATCTGACAGTCATTGCCCCCCCCCCNCTCCATCTGTCTGTGCCGGGCTGATTCTCACAGCAACATGCTCTTTTGGAATATGATGATGTACATGTGATTGTAATAAAGAGATTCTAATTAGCTATGACCAAGTGGTCTGTCTTTTCATTTTGACAGTATTACATACTACTATACATACATACATACATACATATATATATATATATATATATATATATATATATATATATATACACATTTGTGAAAATACTTTGATAACTGTTTCAGAGTAACTCTTATGTTAGATCAATGTCTGACAGGCAAATGGGATACAACAAAAACTACTAAACTGGAAGATTTTTCTGATATTTCTATCGTAGATTAAACCATTTTTGCAAGCGGTGTTTCCTTGAATATTTCCTGTTTTGTATAATTCCAAAGACGTTTTTAGCACCCCCTTGCTCCTTTAGAAGAGCTAATGAAAAAAAGTTTCTTTTAAAATGCCCTGTTTCAGTTTAGGCTCTCAGTTTTGGGAAAAGGACGAAGAAACATGGAGCTAAATCAAATCCTGTTGTAAAGCTGTGATTTGAAATGATTTTAACAGATTGTAATTTTTTGTTAATTTAAAAAATGTATATTTTTTAAATTAACAAAAAAGAGTTAAAAAACATAACAATAAAACCCATCACAGTTTCTGACATTTCTTAAAAATCTGTCTTAGAATTTATTGAACAACCTGTACTTGTTGATATGTTCAGTATTCAGATGGAACTAAAGACAAAAAAACCCTATTTAATTTAGTGACACTGGAACTACTGGGCTTCGTGACAGAATCATCAGGTTCCACCTGTTGACGTCACACGTGATTGTTCAGTCAAACACACACACCTGCAGCTCATCAGACACACACGCCCACACACAGAAACAGCCACCCTGGGGAGTAACAGCTTCTCACTATGACACCAGACCATGAAAGTCTAAACTAAAATCACAGTCAACTCAAAGGAGACACAACACGGCACTGAGCCTTATTAACAACAGATGTCACGACGCCCCTGTTTAAAATATCACATCTTTTCTATCACAGATTCAAGTATTAAACATCTTTTACTTTATATTACCATTTAAACAGTTTTGACTAAAAATGTTCATATTGACTTTTATAAACATTGAAAAAAGGTTTTAAGGTCATTCACACACACTTTCATTGTGATGCACTTCCAGATTCCGTGGCATTGATCTGTCAGAAGAGTGTGGGAAATCCTGGGACAAGTGTGTCACAGAGCATCATGGTGGGCGTGAGGGGGGGGCAAAGGTCAGCGAGACACATGGCTCCAAAGGAATGTGGTGGAAGAAAAATCAAAAGTCTAAGAGCTTTGTAGAGTATTGTTGGATTTATACTAGTATTTAAATGTAAGAATATATATTATAACTCTTAGCCAGTAAAATCTCACAATTACCATTAAAATCAATTTACCAACCACCTGAATTGGAATTATTGCTATTTAACCAATATTGTCTTTAATGGTTCATATTATCTTATACTTGGTCTTTAAAAGGTAAATAAAATACATTTACCCTAGATATTAGCATGAGATGAAGTGTCCTTATTTATACAGGTTTTAGTTAATAAAGACACAAATTGTAAAAAGTGTTTGGGTAAGTAATAAGTAATAATTATGATGTGTTATTTTACTGTATTTTCACTGCTCTTTTCAATTCCAGTTCTACTAAACAGGAATTTACCTACGACCTAAGACGGTCATGTGACTGTCAGTAGAAATTCATGATCAATTCATTCAAACAATTGATTTATTTAAATGCTGAATTACACAACCAGATTTTTTTTAAATTTTTTTATATTTTTTTAAAACCAGATTTTTTAAAAAATATTAGTAGTAGCTTAAAAAGCAAACCAAGGTTTCGGTACCTGTGTGTGAACTGACGGATATGTTTGGACATGTCTCGTCCTCTGCACCCTCCAGATGGTCGGTGACGTCAGGTTGTGTCTCTGTTACAGCTCATGTCTAGTGTCCATTACAATCCCGGCCTTTGTTATGGACGTGGGAACCCTGGAGCAGCTCACTACTCACACTGACCACAGTGTGGAGACCACATCTGCTGGATCTGGACACCAGAGAGACTTTGTCTCCACTTAATCAATCAATAACTAAATGAATGACCACAGGTCCTTTTTACTGACTTCTAATGTGGATAACCACTTCTATTAGAGAGCAGAATTAGATTTGGGAATATGGTCTCAGTCAATGACTGAAACATGTTTTGAATCAGAGATTTATAAATGAATATTTAGAGGAAAGCTGAATATTTATTGGAACTTTGACGAGTAATATGTTGGAGGCATTTTTAAAAAAAAAAAATTAATAATAATTCCTGGACTGAATGAGGACGTTCACAGAGACATGGTGGAGTCCACACGTGTGATGTGATGATCAACGTGTGCTCAGTCAGAGTCATTGATCTCAGCATCAGGCAGCAGATCTTCTCTCTCTACAGGGTCACCACTTTCCCAGATCCACACAGAGCTCTGAGAGTCTCCCTCCATCACCCCCCAGTTCTCCACCTGTTCCCCTGAGACCTCACTATTGTCCACTGCTAATACGAGCACAGAGCATGTGGCAGCTCTGCAGTGTCTTTTCTCCTTCACGGAGCTCTGTGATTGGCTGAGAGTGTGAGAAAGTGCAGTCAGACCCAGACCCACACATTCATATGGAGATGTGGGACTATAAATAGGAGGATGAAGCCAGCAGAGATCAGACTCTCTCTACAGAGACCTCTACAGCACACACATCCAGACATGGCTCCTACAATCACTGCAGCAGTGACCAACTCTCAGCAGCAGCA